TCTTTCTCAACTCCCTGGTGCTGCCATTTCGGCGCTAACAGCTAGCATTCAACAATTCTAGCACTGCCCAACCACGTACTCATTTACAGCTGAGTAGACTGGAACAAGTGGAGTAAAGTATCTTGCTCAAAGAAACAACACAGTGCCGTGCGGTGACTCGAACACGCAACCATTCGGTCACGAGCCCGGCGTCCTACCACTAGACTACCGTGCCTCCAACATTTAAATGATCTGCATGATTAAAGCGTAATATGTTTGACGCTAAATTCTAATTAAGACATTAAGGATGTGTGCTATTCTTTATGGTTTAATCAACACAGTTATGCCATTTTCTGATTTCATTCGATAACATTTGATCGCAAAAATTTACAGATATCAGCTCTACGAGTCCTTCATTACCGCAAGTAAGCTCAAGCATTTCAATTTCTTGTCTAGTTCAGATAACAAAAGAAGCAGTAAGTGATACATTGCTAATTGGACACCTGTTTCATGTAGTTTTCCTTCTGTTTTGAGGAAGCCTCTGTTCCTGTTGTTGCCTCCGATATTCCAATTTTGTCTCTGTGTTTTGACGTTTTTGTAATTTGTTGTTACTATTTTATATATAAGCTTAAATCGTTCTGGTAGAGGCGGGAGAAGTTTGGCATCCAAACGATTGTTTACCTAAATTAAACTGTAAAACCGTACGGTCCTCTCAATAAGAACAAGCACAAGAGTTTAAGAGTTCATTGGTGTTTATTCGTAATCCAGTAGAAAAACCTAAAATACAATATATCAGTATTAAAAATATAGGTCGAACAATTAAAGTACGAAACTAACGTCATAGATGATAGGTATACAATAAATACGAAACTATGTCTACCTACACTATTTAGTTATATACTTACGCTTTACAAGCTTCGACATTACAATTATGATTAATTACACAGATATAGTATTATATTGCACTTTGCTAATGTACATTTACAAATTACTACTAAAATGATAGGCCTGGAAATTAAAGGTCCGTCCTGCTCTGACGGCAGCACAGTGCAGAGTGAGGTGGGAAGGTTACGGGTACGTGTGTATACGACACCCAGGGTGGCGTGAGTATGGAAATACTAGTAGTCGTGCCATCGCATTCGCTCGACCTTACACGTATTCGTTATGAGACGGGTACGATGGACGACACATACAAGTAAACATGCTGACATAGTGCATCGTGTACACCCTGTTACAAAACTATTTCTTTACAAGGGATTACTTTATGTGATACAGTACATTTTTTCGCACGTCGGAATTTTCATTTGATTGCTTCTTGCCATAAAAACAATTAACCACGGCATCGCTTCCAGTCGACAGTACATGTGACGAATGACTAAAAGTGTATTACTGACTGTATTATCATACAAGTGTATCTCATTGACCTTGCGACATTTAACAGCAATTGAGTAGTGTGTCTTTCAGGAAGAAGAGAAATAAACCACGAGGAAATGTGCTGCTATTTCAGAATACTTGCTGTTAGCTGTTTGATTGATTTGCCCCGATCCAAGGTATCAAACTGCAAAAACAAACGAACATTTATCGAAATTTATAGAAATTGATACACAACTAAGAACAAATCGCGACTTTTACGGAAGAGTTTTTGTGGCTTGATTCATTAACACCTATTAGTGGTGCTCTCGGTAATATTGGTATCTAATGGACCTTTACGGTGTATGGTTACATGATATACGTTTTGACCTTCACTCCCGCTATGAGATTGTTCGTTGATGACAGACATTATCTAATTGTTTTTGTCATGAAAGCTGTTACATCCCGATTTGGATCGCTTAACCTCCCGGAGCACACTGGACCCGAGGACATCACGCGTTTCTCGTGTTTTGATGTTTCTTGTGTTCCAGTTATTTTTCGTGCTTTTTCCTCTCTTGTATTGACGGTTACTTATAACAGAGGTCATTATGTTTCATACCACCGCTAATGGGTAGAAAAAAAATCGCACCTTTCAGTTCATAAAAAAACTATTCAATTTTGCTAAAATCTACAAGTTTCCCGTCTTGGGCCTTAATTAAAATGGCCTCAGCGCCACTAAAGCTACGATTGAATGCTTCCGCGTATAAATGGTGTCCGTCCTTACAAAGAAGACAGTATATATTTCACAGTGTAGATTATATTTTATCTAAAACATTAAATATCTAACAACATCAAAACAATACATATAACGACATAACATAATATTCATAATGCAATTATTAATTTCACGCCGTTAAGGCGCGGATGAATACATTGCAGTGTAAAAATAAAGGTACCAGACAGATCGGACGTGATAGAAAAATCTAGCATGGGGTATGACGTGGGATATCTCTGTCTGATGTGCGAGAGCACTGTGTCTGTTACAGATAGCTATGAGCCGGTATCAAACCACACGTTTGTTGAAGAAGGTCCCAGTAGTAGTCCAAACGTGTAATTTTTACACCCAAATGTGTTATTGTGTGCGCCACCTCTAAAGACGTTTGGCCGACCTATTTATCATAAAACACTGAACATTAAAGTGCCGGCTACAACGACATCATTACCAGACAATCAGAAAGAGTTTGGATTCCCTGATACAGTATCAATAAAAGAAGCACTTAAAGAAGTATTGAAACGTCAGCAGTAATCGATGGCGGACTTCCACTGTGTCTTTTACATGACCATGATGACCGGTATGTTACACAATTCCAGACAGAAAAGCCCACCATGCAAAGCTCACTAGAATTACAAAATTTGTTATTTCTGGTATTGGTGTTAAAGTAAAAATAAAATACCTATTAAGCAAAAGTGTTGTTGAGGTAAATTAGTATGATGTTGATATATGGGGTTAAGCAAAGCAGGTGAAAATATTATTAACAAAATTGCAAGTAGTAAAAACAATGGCAGATCAAATAGTATATATAAATCTGTACACAGAGACAGCATAACATTTATCAAGAGAGGAGTTTATTTTTTACTTTTTAAGTCATGCCCTTTAGTGATTAATACTTACATAGTAACGCTAATTTGAGTGAAGAATATCACACATTCAGCTCACAATTTAAGAGATGTTTTAGTTCCGGAGAAATGACCCAAAAATGGTAAGCTTACTAGGGTAACGCTTGCTTTAACGATCTACTGAGATTTATTCAATGATTAATATGTTCTTATGAATGCAAAACGATAAAATCTGCTTCTGTTATTAATCCCATCTTTCAGTGCGAAAGTAGTATACCTTCATCTTGTGTACATGTATGGGTATTGATTTTACAGGTAATAGAAGTAAGAAACGGCTTTCCCCTGTACATGTTAACTTCAGTCCACCAGATGTTCTATAATATACTGTGAAAACACAAAGAAGTCATTCGAGGAAAAAGAATCTATGAAAAGTTTCCTGCTGTGATTCCCAATTTAACATTAAAGTTCTGACTCACGGCTAACGGAGACAGATGTCGCGCGTCCCCGAGATTTCTACGCCATCTTGAAGACATGGCGAAATTTATGTGACCACGGACTAAAAGGAGACTGGTCCCTGGGAAATTCTAACTACTGAAGTATGAGTCGTGGCCTAGTGACGATACCACTCTGGTAAAACCGCTTTGTAATCTTCTTGTTTTGCTGTTATACATTGGTAATATTTCTTCATTGTCTATACTGTAATTACCAGTACGGCACTGATGCGGGGCTTGATAGCTTACAGGAAGTTATTCAGTGAAGAACTCGCTAGTACAGCAAAGTAGTACCTTTTTTTAAAGTCAATGGCAATGCCATTGATAGAAAATCAATATTTGATGTCAGGTAGGCTTGAAATATATATAGCAGACTTTGATTGCCTTGACATTCTGCCCTTTCAACAACGCGACGCTTCACCTGGAACATTTCCCTAAGATTTCAACTTTGTTCGTATGGCGTCTCTGTGGAATAGACCGTATGCAATGCTGATGATTTGTAATTGGTTTTGCGACTTTGGCCGTTTAGAATTAGTTCTGCAGAGATTGCTGTACCTTTCTTTAGGATAAAATGATGATTACTGTCCGAGTGTATTTTTTTTTTTAACTTTTATTTAAGATTCGATGTTTTTCTACTGAATATGCGTCAGCAAAGATATACCTTGACTTTAGTTTTGAAATATATTGTTCAAACAGTAACGCTAGTCTATTGAGGACCTCTGTAATAAAGTCTCCGGCTTTCTGTTATAAAGTCTCCGGCTTTCTGTTATAAAGTCTCCGGCTTTCTCGTTGTGGCAATAACTGGTCTCGTTGTGGCAATAACTGGTCACCATAACATGTGTCTGACTACGCCAATAGAGTATTCAACCTCCACAAGTATCACTCACTGTATGGGGATACCATTGGGTGAAGGTTGTGGAATGTAGCCAGGTTGATGTGTGAACACGTTTACAACTAATATAATGCGCTACATGTTTTTCTTTATTATTTTTGATACCCATTTTATGTGTATTATGTCATTTACAATCAATTTGAAGACAAATTCATCTCACTAGACAAATTGCCCGACAGCTTGTTGTTTGTTTTCAGGGACATATACAACATTGGCTGTCTAATTGACTGTAAAGTACTCCTATGTATAACATGTGTCATGTCGCTTAGGTACTACAAAGTAAGTAGACTCGGTATTTATTTTCACGGTTGTATTTAAGGACGGTAAGTCACCATTTATTATTCTTTGATGTCTATGTTGGTTGTTTGATTCAACGTATTGCATAATCATATCAAAATGGTACATTCTCTGCTTATTATTAATATCCATATTTGCTCGTTTACCGCAGTCTCATAAGAAACACATCAATCATCCTGCGTTTAAGTAACTTTTTTCCGCTGTGATTTAATCCCTTTCTGTGATTGTCCGATCACACGAGCGTATCACTGACTAATGGAACACGTTCGCATGCCTATCACTGACCGATCATGAGGGCAGATAACCGACATCTCCGAAAAACCTGTAACTGACTATTTGTACCACTGATTGTCGTCTGCTCTTTCTTTTTCCAGGTGTATGTTTTCCGTAATTGGCTTAATCACGACGATGAGGTGGATGCTGTCGTCTGCGTCCACAAGTGTTCTCTTGGAAAATGGATCGCTGACGTCAGCAGACCAGTGCACTGACATAAATCACGAGAATTGCCCGTGGTCTCACGTGTTTTCAGACTTAACCAATCGCCTTCATTTGATGGAAATGGCGTTCAAGGAGCAAGTGGTTGCGCGAGAAACAATTGAACGTGAAGTCAACAACCAATCGGATTTGAATACATTTTTGAACGACAAATTAGCGTCGTTCAACGAAAAATTGGAAAATATCACTAGACAATATGAAGATATGGAAAATAGGGTGTCACAGTTGGCTTCAAAGCTAAGATCTGACGGTAAGCTATACATATCTCAATCCCAAAGCAAAGTCTTGCTTTTGATTATTTTATCCAATTTTGTTATTAGAATTGTTTATACATGTACTTCCTAGTTTTCGTAACACAAGTTATTTAACATTAGACGCCAGTTTATGTTTTAAGTAATGAGTGATTGAAAATGTACACTTCGGTGAGACAGGTACGATACGACGAGCAGTTAGTGTAATATAACTATTACAATTTATTGTTAGTTGTGATTCCGTTGTTACCCCTGCTGCTGCTGGTACTGTGGGAATATGTAAACACGTGAAGTGCTAGCTTTCATAAGATTTAATTTGATTTTTTACACTTATTTCAACCCTCATCTGATTCTCATCTCGTTTAAATTTGGTTTGGTAACAGTACGTTTAAGAGTCTAGTTTCCAAGCATATGTGTTATTACAGAGCGTAACAGTGGTTATCTGTACCAGGGAATCAAATGCCAATGCCTTCATGTGCTCTGGATTATTTATTTTTATTTTCAAGAAGTGAAATAGGAAAGTAGAATTGTGTGAAATGGTCTGAATATAACCCATGTTAAGTCTTTTTTTAATAGACGTATACTACAGCAAAGCTGCGCACAGTGACGATCGATTCTTGATACATAGCAGGAATACCTATGTACTGTTTTTATTTCACGCCCTTCGGCAACAGATTGTGAGCCGTATTGACGTACCGTAGATAACGTAATTATTGCCCCATCTCATAACACAATGGGCCAAGATGCAGTAAATAAGAACAATTTTCCCGTCTGGCTGATTTCACTTGAACAGTTTCATTCAACATTGCAACGACTTAGAGAATCAAAACGATCATATAACAGTAAGGAACTCCGGGAACCCATGGTGTGTAATTTCTGTTGCAGTTCAATGTCTCTCGGGATCTATCATCGACTACGGTATATAGTTTAGAGGGGGCATTTATAAAATAAACAAATCGAAATCAAAGTAAGGAATCATTTATTTAAAAACAAATTAGCATATAGGTGCAGAATGTAACGTATTTCGTTCAGTTAGGATTCATTATTGGTACTAAAAATTAACCAAAATTTTTTGATGGAAGAAATGCTAAAAACAAATTCTGATAAATTGATAATGTTTAGCCATGGCATAAGATTTACGAAGGGAAGTTCTTTCATTCCTTATATGCCACAGAACTCTGAAGATACTTATTTGATATTTACCTACAACTTGGCAATAATTGTCGGCTCAAAGTAAAAATATACGACAGACATTTAGTTTTAACATGGTTAAGTTTCACATTCCTCCTTAGTGACATGTTAAGTAATCTGCTTATTGTGTTGATTCCTTCTGATGATTAATTCAATACTTGGCCAGGGTTTTCTACACGAGGAGCTTCAATCTACAATGGAGAAATTTCACAGTCGCCCCGTCATCATGGCCTGAATCTAATCATCTGTTCAAAATTTAAAAAATCCAGAAAACATACCTTCCTTTTTGTTTTTTTGGCTGATTTAAATCAAAATCCTGATTTAGAAACCACCTGTCTATATTTGCTTAGAGTGACATTTTCCCATAGGAACTCCCTGTATTCGTTTACCGAATATTTGTAGTTGAATTTTTTTCTATTGAGACAGCCTATCTATCATTTTTAAATGTTTAAGGTTCTATAGAGATCATCTGTCTATAGTTGCCTACTATTTATAACTTCCATTTTAGGTAACGATCCCTATATGATGATTGAAAGTCAATAATAGTCCTTGTAGACAAGCATGTCATGGATGGTCGTTTAACTTATTGAAGTTATGCCCGTAAAAGAACGCCCGTGTGTACCATGTACTGGACTCACCTGTAGGTTAAATGGGTATATAACGGTTCGTTAAACGTGCAACCATACCAGACAGCGGACACAGAGAGTGTGAAGAAGTGAGAATTACAACATTACTCATCTCCAGTACATCTCAGATAATGGTAACGATGGATACACTTCCCGATAACACGCCGTTCTTATATCTCTGCCGGTATTGTATTGGGATTTATCACGTAAGCAGTAAACAATTTTACCTAGGCACTACCATGGAACATAAAAATTGAAATGAATTATTCCTGTGGGAATATTCAAAGATTTTGATAAAGCCCACACTCAAGTGCTATCTAGTTTCCCTCCTGTATCTGTTATCGTTTCATAATACATGAAAATGATAAACGCTTATACTAGCGTCATCTTTGATGTCAATATTTATCATCTTTTTGTGAAGAAGATCGTCTCTTTAGTTCAGACAAGCCAAACTTACGTCATAGGTGTACGTACAACATTGACGGAGCCAGTATCTCTAACTACACCTCTTGATAAGATAAGCTACATACTACATCATGTTGTGTTATGGCTATCCATACTGTATTATTATACATTAGCTCTACCTGTCATTATTAATCAAAATGAATTCTACAAAACATTTCAATTATGTTATGTTTCTTTCTTATTCATTTGAATTACTAATGGGTTATTTTCTATTAGTTTTGGAGAGGAATGAATGAATGTGTAGTGTCAGTTTGGTAATTATATGTTCCAGAACAAAACAAAATAATCGCATTGCATCTATCTTCACTACAGTGTTGCTTTAGCCCGACCTGATGTAAGTAATACTTATTCGCCTGTGTCCTTTTGGTTGAATAAAGATATGTTTCGTTAATCATCTAACACATGTATGTTTATTTACAGAAATACTTGGATTTGTTTTATTTCTCCTCATTATGACCGAGCTGATCTTCAAGCTGGAGCCGATTGTCCGCCATTGGATATCGATGCGGGGAATCGTTAAGGCGTCACCGTCAGTGTCAACACCACGCAAGACCAATGGAAAGGACGTTTCTGTTAAAAAGGTAAACTACCCACTTAATTATTGATATGTTACGGAGCTATGACAAGTGTGAACTGTCTTTTTAAACGTAAGTGGATAACACATGCCACAACAATATTATAGCTCAACGATCGAAATACTAAAAACTGTGAATTACCGCTGTATAAATGATGAAATAGAAATACGATAAATAGTGTCGTTGTGACCATTCCATTATATAGAGGAAAGAGGTATAATGTCAAAGGACCACCCTGTGACCGATTGACAAACTTGAAAATAAGAAAAAGGAATTAAAATAAGCTCAGATTTAATACTGTACTGGTGGAATTTCCTCAAAACGGCAAGCTAAATAGAACCAAATCCGTTGTCCCACTCGAAATGTTCAATGGTGCAATTTGCACAAAAGAAAATTAGCAACACAACCCCCACCATTTGTAATTGCATACGATTCTGGATCTGGATACTTGATTGAGAGCAGCTACTGATGTAACAGTTTGACTTGTCTTGACTTTGTCGATTCCAGACTTTGAACAAAATCGATTGGCTTTCGGTTATCAAGTCATTATAATACTTCTCTCAATAAATCACAATATATGTTGAATCGTATTTCACTTGTCAACTGGACCTTTTAATAATATTAACAAAAAGATATAAAATAAAATCCAGAGTTATAATCTATAAACACCAATGTTTTAGAAGCTGCACAACACATTAAATAATGAGATGTAGACATATTGTGTCTGTCGAGACATGTGGACTCCTGATGTCCTCAAAAAACCGTTCAGATTTCCAGTTACTTCATATCACCTTTTGATCGGAACAGCCATCATCCTAGACGATGTGCTTGCGATAACTTCACTGTTGAACACTAGCGTGAGCGATGATATTAACAATATATGACAAGTAATTACCATATGAAATAGTAATGTTACCATGGAAGAACACTTTATTCCGATCGCCTGTGTACCCCTTCATATCCGTTTCTTGGTATTAGCTTAGTCCGTCTAATTTTCTATACAAACCCAACTAAAAAGTAAATGAGGATCACAGGGAGGCCATTACGGACTTGTCATTGGTATTGATTTCCGGGATTGTTTTTATCTGATTCTGTCAGGCTTAACGGATTAGCAGTGTTTGTTTTTAGAAAACCGCTGGTGATGTTCGTATATTCTGTTATTAGTCATCTTATTATCATAAAAACAAAACACTTTCTTCAATGTAATTTTAACCCTGATACGACCGGTCATTTGATAACAACCGTACAATTATGGATGAAAAAGTGGTCTGTGTTAGCTCATCTCCAAGTTCATAGTGTTACTCACGGCATGGCTAGCAACTGTCTTTGTCAAGTTAATATTTTATGTCATTATAAAAGTGGAAAAGGTTACTAGGAAGAACAATATTTGACTTTCCATTGTTTTATCTAATTGGTTACGGGATATTCTTTTCTTTGTCGGAAATCACCAAGGGATTTTTTTATGACTTCAATCACATTATAGAAATCAGATATCCAAAATGCTTATCACAGCTATGGTAGCTATGGTGAGGTGATCTTAAGCAATCAAGATGTCATTGATTTCTGTGGCCAGAGAGAAATCAGATGTGTAACCAATTTGTCGCCTTGTGCGATGTCCACTTGCCGGTTAAGTGGCGAGCAGTTGCCAGGATGACCACTAAGACCTGGGCCGATTGAGCACCAAGTGTCTGTGTCTTTGAGATGTAATTATCAGATGTCACGAGCTACTCGTCCATCTCATTACAATACACAGAAGTCTAGTGTTACAGTTGTTCCTGTAGATGGTCAATTGACAATCACATTGCAACACTTTAACACATTTTACTAGTTTCTCTTTAATTTATCAACGCGATTTATTAAGACGCGTTGACGCATTTTACTAGTTTCTCTTTAACTTTATCGACGCAATTCTATAAAGACGTGAATATAAATCGACACGCTACAAATATGTTGCAGCAGTATTTCCAACGCAAAAATGTTCATATGGCGACTAGTTTGAAGAGTCGGATTCGACATTTTTACTGACGAAAATTCCCTCTCTTAAATAATACATTTAGAGTTGTGAAGGGGTGTCTAAGTGACCTTCCAGTACCAGTTTAGGTTTCACAGAGCCCGTAAAAAGGGATTTTAGTTTGCCTTACTCTGCAAAGATTACGCACTCAGTATTGGCAAACTTTGTTTTATGAGCACACTCCCTGCGTTTATTTTATTGTATTACCGCACAGTTTGATTAATTGATTGGTGCCGCGTTACACACTAATTATCAGTAAATAAATATTACATTCGTCGTGTTGTCTGTATCAAGCGTGACTGGTTTTATGCTCTTACACTGGTAAAATGAATTTGTTAAAAATTAGTTTGAATATTTCATCACCTGATTGTTTCATTCACATTCTTTCACTCGCAGCTTGTTTTAATCTATTTTAATTTTGTCCCTTACTTACTTGAAAATTAACTGTATTCAGAATAGCTCACTATATACATGTTTATGTAGTGTAAACATGGTGAACATGTAACAGGGTTATACAGGGTATTTTTTGTGTAAAAGTAACACTACATAAATTCAACGCTTGCATTTATTTTTCGTAAACACGAAATATTACTGCGAAATCAAATCTACAGGCAGTATCATTCTATTTAAAACAAAGAACAATAGTTTAGTCTATATATTAGTAAAAAATACATGTCTGTTGATTTTTGTAGATTTTTTTTTCAGTCAAGTTCTAAACTTTTTCATCCCATTTCTAACAGATAAAGTAGGCCCTTAAAACGTTTGTGAATCCAGCAGGAAAAACGTGAGGCCAGAACTCAAGTATTCGATTCTGACAAATCACTGTATATCCAATGCAAAGTATAAATAGTGTCTTCATGGTATTATTGGTACAGATGAATGAACTTGTTTACTCCCATTCCGTAGTATAACTGAACCTTCCAACAAGTAAGGGAAACGCATGAGGGTGTATTGTGATTGGATTATCTGTTAATTTGAATACATTTTCATTGTGATTTAAGTGCCCTGACTCAATTCCATTAATGGTAATTTCCTTTCAAAGTTTCATGATATTGATATCAGCTACGCTCATCCATTGTCTTTATTCCTTATATGGTTTATACAGGAGCGTCGTACAGTTCGCAAACTAAGGAGACAACACTTCTGAATATATTGGCAGGTCCAATAACTCTTTTCTATCGGAAGACTGAGGTATTCAATCATGGTAACTTTCAATAAAAGTGCCGAGAGTTTCTTTTAATGATCTAATAAAGCGATCCTGATTTCCCTAATTTGTCCTGCTGTCGGTGTGATCCGTTCCTACCTCCTATCTTACCCTGCGGTGATGAATAATTCTCCATCAAAAACACTGATTACACAGTTATTGCCAGTTTTCCATCTTTCTCATTTTAATCTATAATAACAGTGACACTCATGATGTTGGTGTTAGGCTAATCTTTATGATCACACAACAAGCACATTGTCTTCAATGCTTGACCAAATTATAGTCTTATTTGCGTGGTGAATTGAGTGGAATACAATGAATTTTCAAAAACAGAAAGGGGTGGGGCAACCGATCTATTCATTAAGTAATGCTCGATGCCTACCATAAAACAGTAAAAATACACATCCATCATTAAAGTTATTATTTGCAACCAACATAAGGTAACACTGCACGTCCACAAATCAGGATTTAATGAAAACCCACAAATTAGAAATCATTACTTGCCTGCCAGTCAGGGAAAAACTGAAAACGAACCATTCAGGTAACTCAGTAGGCCTACTGATAAGGTTACACTTCAGACGCACCACCACCACCAACAACAACAACAACAGACAATAAACATAAAAAACAACGAAATCAAACCTGCTTACATTACGTTTTTAGTGAAGTCTCCACGATATCTACCGTCTTGGGAAAGATGCCACAATATGTGCCAATATAAAGTCCGTTAGGTTTCAAAAAATTCTTCCAATATAATTACGTCTTCTCTCATCTACATCAAAAACCATCCGTCATAATTGCTATTGTTTATGATTATTTTGTTATACTGAGCTATTTCTTTACCACATGCCGTAGTCTTTGAGTTGATATAAAAATCTCCGTTCATTATTTCCCTTCATATGGAAGTTGTATTTTTCTATTCTAAAACAATCCTTTCTTAACGACAAAATGGCGACATTCCACTGTGGTTCGTTGAAATAAATCTATAAAGTGTCTGGACGACTCTGACACAACATGTGATTTATGTTAAGGGCTTTTCTGATTGAAGGGCTGCTAGTTATCCACGCGTCGTATTATTTTTTGAGGATTTCTCAACATTCACAATGTAAAGTGTCATAGCCATCGCCCTCCCATTGATAGAAAGCATAACGCATGCGAGGAATAGCCATGACACTGCTGTGAAGCTGTAGAGCGTTGACAATGGGATGTTGATATTGGATTTTAATTGATTAGAACTCTGTGTGCCTTACATGCCAACAAAGATAACATATTGATATTAACGGCGGTGCTGGGAAGATGTAAAGAGGCTTTTTTACATTGACATTATTAAAGGTGGCGTTTCTTCCTTCCGGCGGTAATTTTTCATTCTCGCCAAAAATTGTTTCGAGAGCACTGGAAAATAAGCAAATCTTGGTAAAATGATCTGCTTTAAGCAAAATAACAGAGATGTAATTAAGTATTATTTAAGTTTTCGTCAATGAGAAGTGTTCTACCATTTACCCGATACCAATTCATGATAATTTCAAATTCTGTCAGATGATAAAAGCCGTGTAAAAAAGTGAATAAAATAGCTTAACTATTATATAATGGACCGTTTAAGTGGAACATTGCAATATTTCACGTACAAATACTCTTTTTTGAAATATCTGCTGATCTACTGACCATCTACGTACCGATAGGTCAATCCAAATAGTTACACTTATCATACAGGTTAATAGTAGCTTTTTTATGACAAGTAGACGAGTATATTTTTTCCTTGATTTCATGTACAGGGAAAACAAACGACTGACGTAGTAAAAAAAAGTGTTGTTCTTCAAAGACAATACAGTATCGATGTGTCTGAAATAAAAGTCTTTGGCACGGTCTTGGTGACCTGTCATGATATGCTATTTGTACGTAGAATGCAGACGTTGATATCCCTGAGGAACATCTATTATTTCTGGTATACTACGATACCGTTAAATTGGAACCCTTTGGACCCATCAATGCAATACAACAATTACCCTTTATCTCCAATTTGATCTAACTTAGACAGAAAATAAATCGTACTATTTACTCCTCTGCGACAGTGTGACATTAGGAAACGGTGCGGGTCCCATCATGGTTTGGATCACGGCCATGATTTAACGACACAACGGTTTTCTCTAGCTATGCCGTTTATTTCTTGACACGATGATTTATGTAATGGATATTTGTCCGAGTTGTTTGACTTACTTCGCTACAAGGCGGAATGATTGGATCAATATTAAACTGTTTTACCACGGCAATGATTAGAATGCAATGGGACTAACATTGTCACATTGACATGTACGAGTTAAATGCTATTCTGATGACTTGTTCTTGGGGACTTGTACGAGAACGACTTGTAAAAGGATGACTTGTGCTAGTATGACTTGTGCTAGGCATGTTGTGCTAGTATAACTTGTGCTAGACTCTCTAGTGCTAGGATTATTGTGCTTGTTTAATTTGCCCTGGGATGACTTGCGAAGGTAGGGCTTGTGTGAAGATGACTTGTACTAGGATGACTTATGATTGGATGCTAGTATCACTTGTGCTAGGTTGTTGTGCTAGTAACACTTTTGTTAGGATGGTTCGTGCTAGCAAAACTTGTGCTAGGATGACATGTACTAAGATGAATTGTGCTAGTATAACTTGTTCTAAGGTTGTTGTGCTAGAATGTCTTTAGTTAGGACGGTTTGTATCAGTATAACTTGTGCTATGATGGATGTACTAAGTTGAATTGTGCTAGTATAACTTGTACTTAGGTTGTTGTGCTAGTATATATTTTGTAAGGATGGTTTGTGCTAGTATAAATTGTGCTAGGATGCCAAATTATAAGTTTGCACGCTTGAATTTCCAGATGATTTATTAACGCTGAACAAAATGTCGTCATTATGACCTGATCGATATTTCATTGTCTGCCATGATAAAAAAATATATCGTGTCTTAAGTAGTTTGTTACAACCGTATTTCCTAGAACATCACATCTATCATTGGTAACACATGTGGTTATGACAACGCTTACACTTCCGGAGCACTTTGTTCCACCTCTGATTGGGTTCATGATGTCTTTCATTTCACTTTTGGTTTTGTTTGTGTTGGTGATATTACGCTGATGAATGTTCTAGTTAGTTTTTTGTTGTCTTCCGAATAGTTGTGGTTGGATATCTTGATGTATCTTTTCCTTAAAATGAAAATATTTGAGTAATTACACTTTCACTTGTAGTATCAACAAATCGTGAACCTGTGATAAGCTTTAAATCACAATAGTGTAAAACATATGTGACACGCAACACGTTTAATGTATTCAGTAAACATTTAGCTGCATCTATTGTCCTTTACATGTGAAAGTTGAGATATTGATATTTTATATGAAACCCGTGTGATGAATATATCGTTCAGGTACATACATTTTATATTGTATTTCTGTCATGATTTTTATATTAGCTATCTACATGTATACCGTGTATCAGAGACAGCTGTTGATATAGTGTCCTAACCATTTCGTTACAAATTGATTAAACTCGCCCTGTCTTCCTTCTAACCACCGTTGTAAAAATGAAAATAAGGCAAGACGAACCCGTAACATGAAGATTCTACTTGTATATTGGATGATAAGCTTGTAAGGGAGCAACTCCTGAGAGGATAGATAATCTAATATGTTTATGGTTTTTATGTTCAAATGCTATACGATTTGCAACTGTTTGATTACTTCCTTGTTTATTCTGAGCTATTGTCTTTGAAATAACACAAATATGAATAACTTTCAATTGAGCATGTTCACTTTTGTTTTTTTTTAATGATTTTTTCATATCTCTGAATATATATCTTTTCAGATAAACGAGAATCAATTGAAAGTGGTGAAAATTATTCAAAATATCCATCTTTAGTGCGTCTTGTAATAAAATTACCAAAATCAAATATTTCGTCATTTTATTAATAAAATATATCATCGTTTTAATTTAAAAGATGAAGAAAGTACGACGTAGACACCTATCTGGCTATTAGATCTACTAATATGGCGAACTTAGCAAAATATTTTTGTTTCTGTTCGATATTCATTAGAAATGCAGTAACCGTTTATGAGCAATCAATGGCTACGAATCGTTAATGTGGAAAATGGGATCAGCGAAAATGGCGAATCAACAGGAAATTAACATCGTTTAGAACCATTGTTGTTTGCTATATTATATAAAAAAAAAAGTACGTAGACGTTGTTTTGTATTTACAGGGCTCATCTGGAGGATCGACACCAAAACATATTTTCCTGCGGAACGAGATGTGTGTGCTCCTGTTTAGAAAAGAAAACAACAACATATTTACTTCATTGATTGAAGCGATGCTTAAGAATTTTACCGAAGTAAAACTAGCCTCAAACCCATTCTTTATCATAGAAAACCTAAATGACGTCAAGAATGTGCCTCCGGTTAAGTTATTCGTGGTGATCTGTGACTGTGAGGTGTCGTCTGGTAAAACCAATGGTTGGGATCTACACCTAGCTGCCATTAAAGTGCTAAGGACGATCACAGGTCAGTACACTAGCTAATTAGTTAGTTCTGTGAAGTTCTACCTAAGTCACTCCGTATTCTAGGTAATATAGTAAACTAGGTATATCTCAGAATCAGCATGGTGTTTTTTCCAACAAAAGAAGGCACGTCACACTGTAAGTCTTATAATAAATATAATTAACAAAGTCATATGCTAAATTAAATTAAATTATGTCGTAAACTTGACCATTGTAAACAAGATCATGTGGTTAACTTGACCATGGAGAACACTAGATCATGTGGTAAACTTGACCATGAAAAACTAGATCATGTGGTAATCTTGACCATGGAAAACTAGATCATGTGGTAAACTTGACCATGTTGAACAAGATCATGTGGTAAACTTGGCCATGGACAACAAGGTCATGTGGTGAACTTGACCAAGGAGAACTAGATCATGTGGTAAACTTGACCATGGGAACTAGATAATAAGGTAATCTTGACCATGGAAAACTAGATCATGTGGTAAACTTGGCCATGGACAGCAAGGTCATGTGGTAAACTTGACCAAGAGAACTAGATCACGTGGTAAACTTGGCCATGGACAACAAGGTCATGTGGTGAACTAGGTTGTAGAAAACTAGTTCATGTGGCAAACCTGTTCATGTGTCCTTAGGCATCATTGCACTTGGTCTGAAGGAGGTAAGCGTTCGTTAGGTCAAGTGATAAACTGCGTCATTATCGTCGATTCAATTAAGTAACGTTCATGTCAAGTATCTACCAGTAATCGTTACTGGCTTTAATCGAGTCACGTGTTATGTTAAGTTATTTCATTGGTCAAGTAACCAATCCGAATATAATAATGCTGACTATTGCATTTCACCGATATATACTTTAAAATTTGACAAAGATCCCATTGATTGTTCCTATGATGGGCATTGTTTCCATTGTAAATTTAGTAGCTGATGCCTTAGCTTCGTAAGATTCTGGAAAGCTTACTCTATTTTATTCTTTATCAACAGTAGACAATTGTCTACACTCTATTGCTCTTTAAATTGAAAACATTATTTACCGTCTATTTTTTATTTTTCCTCTGGTTTTATGTAATTTCGAATCCAATCTTATCGGTGTTTGTTCTTTGGATTGGTATGCATGGGGATATCTATTGTCTACACTTAAAAAAACTCGATTGGATATTTGCAGTTAATTATTCTAATCTGGCCTCTTGCTTCCCCGTTTTGTTTGCTTAATGAATTTGTGTCAGTCGCTCTCCTGGAATTCTTCTAACAAAACATTGGATAAGGATTGTATGCCTTGTTATTTATGACTATTATTAGATATTTTTAATTATGTTGATAAAAATGACACATAGGTCGTGTAGATGAATCTGTGACTAAATCAATATACCTGTCTGGGTTATACTGTACATCGTGACCGGACCATGTACATTACAACGGGATGTGACTGTTTTCCTATTGTATAATGTGGCACGCATATGTTACCTAAACCCTTGGCAGACTATCATCTCCAGAACATACATGTATGACAGATCGAATATCGCCTATCATGATTGGCGTTCTGCCCTCACACCAATTTTGATCAAATAAAGTATGCACATGTGTAGCAAAGTAGCACATCTGCCAAGCATTTTGAAAATAACAAAGGGAGGAGTTCCAGAATGACCCTTTGATATTTTGTTTTACGTATTTGCTAACGATAGCCTTAGCAGGTAATTGTCAATTTTTTAGGCATTATATAAAGGTCGCAAGTGCAGAAAAAGACCTTACAAATAATCAGCGGAATGCCCAATATCATATAAACCGGTGTCATTTTGGCCAGTATTAATGTAAGTTTCAGACATATTTTCAGGTATAAATCCCCATTCATGGAAGGATTTCTCGTGCTCTCACTTTATTAAAATTTGACATCATGAGGGTAACACATACGGTTAATGTAACGCTCAGCGTTTGACAGCACATGACTACATATCCGGCTCTTTGTTGAGTTTCATAACGTTGTCCTTTAGTGGTAGTGTTTCCTTGTTTCTGGTGTTGTCTTTTAGAATATATTTTAGGTTGCGGATGTGTCCTTTTTTTTTAGACGCTGTGGTATTAGTTTCTAATTTATTTCTCATTAGCGTATCGCTATGAAATAAATCTTAAAACTGTCTCCATATTGTTAATCACGTTATCCTGACATGTCAGGTGATTGACAGTATCATGGAATGAAGGAATTGTGCACGAATATGAGTATGTATAGTTTTCGACGTTAGATTGGAGGGATGCAACTCAGTTGCATCTTCCTGAGTATACCTATTCTTTGTGTTGATAAGATAATCTTAAAACTGTCTCCATATTGTTAATCACGTTATCCTGACTCCTGCAGGTCAGATGACTGACAGTATCTTGGAATGTGTACATTTTTCGACGTAAGATTGGAGGGATGCAACTCAGTTGCATCTTCATGAGTATGCTTATTTTTTGTGTTGATAAGATAACATGAGAATATTGTTCCTTATTTGTCTTTTCAGTGAATGTCGTCGTCATTGTGGCTAACGATGAGGGATCCAAGAAGATGGTGGCACATTCTATGTACAATGAAAATCTTCGCCTTGTGCATCATTTCGACTTACTTCACGACATTGCAGCCAGTGGCAAGCTATTTTCCATGTGGCAGGAGATGTCCTCTCACCAGATGAGTCATCTTCGCAAGTACATGAGGACTGTTTTGAACGTAAGGCCGAGTCTTACGCCGGTCAGATGACTTACATAAGAAAAGACGGCGCAAAACTCGTGGAGAATGCAATATAATCATGCAGCTTATACTGAGAACAACAACGTTAACGGAATTATAAGACGCTGCTTATTGGTTTCAAGTGAATCTTGAAAGTGTTGAATGAATGTAATTCATCTTGATAACGATCTCAAGTAATATGCCTTGAATGATACAAGTAGAAACATTGAAGAACGGGGTATATATGTATAGATGAATGGACGATAACTCTGTCTTAGTACTGTGAGAGTTGTCGCACTTCACATATGCAAGCTACAAGTTAATTTTGAAAAAGTTTTAGTTACAGCAAAACAATGTTTAATGGATGAAAAACTGCTACCTGATCGCACTCATTCAAATTTGATTTGAATGTTTAACATTATATTGCCTTTCAGTATATTTAGTCACCTTCAACTGATACAAATCTGACTACGCACTATATATCTGTACACATTACGTGTCGTTCACAAGTTGGCAGACCTGTGACGTGTAAATAATGAAATATTAGCGATTGTCGTATAGTCCCGTTGGAAATCATTTCAAGTTTTCATTTCAGTGTTTAATGAACTACTTGAATTGTACCTTTTCTATACGTTTCTGTTAATAAGATAATGCCTGCTTCATTACGTGTAATACATGTATTAGGTGATACAGAAATAGAACAATACACACTAGGATTTAATCCAGTGTCACTGAAACCAGTTCAGTCCTCGTCCTTTCGATGTTTGCCAGTATAGGCAGACCTACAACTTACGCTTTATTGACGAGAAAATAAATCAGCGTGGCAGTTTTTCATTCCTTGATAATCCTGAAAATGATCCACTGTATATAGCTTAATTTACACATTGCGTTCTATAACACAATTATTGATATGGTTGACGTGACATATTCCATTACCATTAATCTAATTATAAAATACCACCGTAATATCAATTTCCATTGTCCCATATATTCGGTGATCGCAAAATTTCTTTTGCAGCAAATAAACTCCGTATACAGTGCAGCATAGTTTAAACCTTGTCATGTCAGCTTGGGTTCCAAGTATTCCATAGCTATGAGCGTTTGGGGTTAATGAAGACGGCACATGAATTTATAGTTAGTCACTCCGATTCCTGGACATTGCAATGATGTGGATGATGACGAGGTTTGACTATGTCCTTCCTGACAGCTTACTTGGTGAGATATCGAAAGTTCACATCCTCTAAACGTATACCGCTGAATAGCCTCTTTATAATGATCTTGACATTTCCTCATTGGCTGATATTTGGTCAAATGTTCTTTAATTGTATTTATTGTGGAGATTCAAATCATACCACGTGCAACTATTACTTTTTCGAAAGATCGCGTTCTGTACGCATACCCCATTTAGTAATTGTTACTCGATAATTATATAGACTCAAGTTATGTTATATGTCACGTTCTTATTAGGTGGTATTAAAGGGAGAAAATTCATTACTTAAATAGTAATGTAATTTTCATGGGAAAGGCAGGCATTCCAATTTACAATTTCAATGCTAGGGGACTACATGTATGTAAAGGCCCTGATCATGTATATTTGCTGTGTACTCTGTACCATATATGTGATGGTACGTAGGAGTGTATCAATAAAGATGTAGCTGTGTGATCGACAATGAGTCTTTGAATGCAATTTTATAATAACTTTAGTTTAAACATACTGCATTTACAAAACTACAGCTACACAAAGTGGATCAGATATATATGTTTTACTTTTACCAACTTAACAAGTTATATTTGTGACGGAGATGTTACAAAGCATGGACCTTTTTCTGCCCTCTCGCTTTCTTTTGAAATTCACTTATATCACTTTCGCCGTACATTAGCTTATTTTGTTTGCGTTAAATTATATTTGGTGCTAGGTTTTAATTTAGATAAATATTGGCTCGGTTTCGAGGTTCATTATCCTAACAAAGGGGATAACAGTCAAATGTGGAACACTGACAGACTTGTTCACAATCATTGAAACTTAATTTTGATATACTGTAAGTATTGTGGCATTCAGAAAAGATCATCATCAGCAAATAATGGTATTGGAGATGATATTTTTCACCATTTATACCACTTGATATATTCAATTGAATAAACTTTTAAGTAATTGGACCGAGATTTAGCCGAGCCCTCATCCTGACACGTGTTGACTGTAAAAGTCATCACCATGCCACGTTAGACTCGTGTCATCACGTGTTGATTGTATACGTCATTATCATGACACGTGTGGATTGTATACGTCATCACCATGACACGTGTTGATTGTATACGTCATTATCATGGCACTTATTGACCATGCACGTAAACGCCATGAATTGTGTTAATTGTACATGGCGACTTCATGACACTTATAGATTAAACACGATTTGACAGTGAATTAGTTCGGGAGTGGTTTTGTATGATAGGTGAAAAAAATGCGTAAAGGTTGTAATGATTGAATGAAGTTACACATATTTATTACATACATTGTGAACATAATTCATTCAGGGATATAGTGTGATCATCAGTATGGATTTGCTTGGGTGTATATTAGGAGAACAAGACGGGTATGAGAACCGGTGTAAACTATAGTGGTTTACGTCTATAATGATTCGATTGTAAACATTGTACATATGAACATAAGGGAGTTATTTAATAAAATACCAGTGATAACATTCAACATGTGTTCACTTCCTTATTTTATATCATTTGAACATTTAGTACGTCGATGCAGAAACTCGAAAAAAAATTAACATTCACTGCACTATACGGCAATATCTTCCAAGTTTGTTGTACTAAATTGCAAAATTGTAAAATACAGCCAAAGAGAAACGGTACATAAAAACAGTTTATGAAGTTACAACTTGACAATTTTGACTTCATCAGATGACTTTCTTTTTTATAAACTAGCATAATCGTGCTAATACAGGGTTACAGCCAACACTGGAGACTGATCGTTCTTCAACGGAAAATTTAAAGTAAGGAAGCCCCTACTAAAACAAGTATGATAGTAGATGCAGAAAGCCAACAAAAATACCAATACTGTACCGTATTGACATTTCATCAATCCAGAACAGATCAGTAGTACATTGAAAAATTACAATACGGTGTCGGACATTGTAGTTTGTTAATAAGTGCTTCCTTTCTTAGTACTTCTAGTCATCATTATATCCATGCGGACAAACTGGTGCCGTATCCAGTTTTTACTATGTTTTTATTTTTATTTTCTGTTTCTTTTTTCTTCTGCAGCTGTTTTTTTTTTATCGACACTGAGTTCTGTGTGGTCAGGGTGTCGTATAACCTTTTCAACTTATTATATATCATGAAGCAATATTCTTCTCGTCATTTGTAAAAGTTGACGCAGTTGTCTTGAGACATTTCTTTATCAAAACAAAATTGTATGTCCTGTCGACGTGGATGAATGAAATATCAGTGTAAATTTTAACGTTGCTAGCATTGTAGCAACTACAACCTTATCATCACTAAGATGTGTTGTGAGGTCGTTAACCCATATAAAAATAGCAACTAAAATATGTCCTTGTCTATTGGTTTTGACTTAAGTTTGTATCCTTGTGTATTCATTCAGTAAAACATTGTTCAAACCTTAAAACACGTTGCGTCTCTTTCAACTGGTGTGATGTGGTCTCTGTCGAGTACTGATAATCAGATATGCTGCAGTGTTTCGGTCCCTGTCCTTAAATGACCATAGCTGTTGATAGGACGTTAAACAGTAGTAAACCAAACCAACCCTATGCAGACGACTACATACCTGGTAGTGTATCAAATATATCACAGAGCAGGGCATATCACCGTAGGAACAAGTGAACGCATGAAATCCTTGCCTAAAAATGTATTGTTGAACTGTGGGATACACTTAATATACTTGCAACAATTTACCTGTTTATCCGAGTTTATTGAACGATAAATGCATACTCTAAACAGCTGTGATTGTCTCAATGAGTTGGTCACCGATCTTCAGCTGGATAGCCTTTGACTACTGATGCTTGGAAGAAAAGTCAATTCGTTCTCTTTTTCTTGAATAAACTTAAGCACTTTGGCGTTCTTCCAGGTACTGATGTGTAAAATACGAGCTTCCATACTTCCAGATGTGTTGTCCAAGCTGTTTTCTGGGGAGAGTTGATATCTTTGTTAGGTGATTCACCTTTACCAATAATCTAGTTTTCGGTAAATTTAATATGGATATTGGATCACGTCCTACAATGCTATCTGAGTAATTAACACTTCTTGCATTGAAATGAAGTAACTAGCCAGCACTTTGCTCGTGGAATGTCAATTCAGTCCTGCGTTATCATCTCTCCGAATTTCTGTGCTGCTTTCTAGGTTAGAACTTCAACACCGCAGGTAACTGCTTCATCAAAAAATCATCAATCAGTTCTACCCTCCTGAGGGCCTGGGACTAAAGAAGATTGAATGGCTTTGATGATATCTAGCAAAGAATTTTGCAATATTTTCAGACGCTGATTTCTTACACGATATGGTTAAACACAGTAGAGTGTGGCACAGACAGTAAAATGATTGTTGTAATGGTTTTACTCCTACGCAGATCTGCCATTCAGTCTTTTCCGTAAATGACTAATAGAATCTTCCTTTACCTTGATGGTGTGACCGAGAAATCCCCAACCCCAGGGGTGATGTTTTTTGGTTGTCTAACTCGAGGGTCTGCCGAGGGATAGACAACCAAAACAATCAACCCGAGGGTTGGGATTTCTCTGTTACACCCTCAAGGTAGGGGATGATTATTTTTCTCCAATCCTATTATTTCAGTCACAACTCCAACGACAGTTGTCTGTTTGTAAACAAAAACACATGTGGGGTATGAATATCGTCATTCACTTTTGATGACGTCACAATTGCCAGTGACATATTTTAATGACATCACAATTGAACACGTGCTAATCGGCATGAGACTACCTCCCCCCTAGGGGGTGACAAGCTGATCTTTCCCGGCTAAAACGGGAGACACACCTGTGAAGGGTGGGAGAAAAGGCTATCTTTATGGATATTGGTAGTTTCTGTCACATATTGTGTCGGACTCCGAAAATTGTTATAAAATGGCATACGAATGTTAATCTTCAACACTACCTGATTGTTAGTTACACATTGACTTGTGCACGTCCTACGTGATGACACCTAGCTGAGGAACTGTATTCATGAAACTGTTCACATGCTTAAACTCAGACTGCGTGCTCAGTACATGATTTGGATGAATTATAAAGGGACTAGAAGCTGAACATCGATTACAATGTCTAGAATTTCATTTGACTGTGTCGCATAATTTTAACGAGTTATAAAAGGCTAGATTGAGCACAGAATCTATTGAATAATTTCATAAAAACATTGCCTTGATTCTGATACGGTAAAAGTCCCTCAAATATGAAATATTGCCTGTTCTAATCCAATATTTTAATAAGTTACAAACCTCCTCAAAGTGGTATATATAATCAAATAAGAATAAGAATTTATTTGTTTGCGACATAATACAGAAGGCATAAATAACAAGGGAAGACGTCAAGGACGTGACTCATACGTTTCTAATGTAAATGAGACCATCACATACGCATGAAGCAAATTAACATTATCACAAAGTTAGCACTTGTTTACAACAATAGGATTGACGAAAACAGATTTTTAAAAACCATTCCGAAATATTCAGATGTTATTATCGTAGATCCGCTCACCGCTGCTACTCGCCTCTCCTGCATTCGGACAGGCCAAGTTTGATATTCCAAGTACAGTTCCACTTGATAAATCTGCCGCAGTTGGACGAACTCCACTTCCGGTTGCGGTAGCGTTCCTATCTTCTCGTGCGACACGAGATGATGTATAAGCGGCAGTATAGCCATCTGCGGGTTCGTCAAGGTCCAGTTCGCTCCAACCCCCCTCAGAGCCTTCCCCGTCACTTACATATGCAGCGTTGACGTGCACGCGCCCAAGGTTGTGGGTCGGCAGAGAGTATATAGGGCCAGCATTCGCCTGCGAGTCGGCTTCATTGCTATTTGAGGCATTCCGCTTCTTCCTGTCAAGTGATACAAATATCAATTTGTCAATCAATTATTTACATGAATTTAATTTCGAAAATTTGCACATTGTTTTCTAATGAACTGTAGAAATGAGCAGACTTAATCTAAGCCTTATAACAATCCCAATGAAATGATAAATTCTTTTGAATTTGCACACCAACAAGTGAATGGATCGGCCAATGACGGAAACGTGAAGGCATTGGTCAATAGGAAAAGGCGCATAAGGACTTTGCATCAGAAGTTATGCGTGATACACACGTTGCTCAGCAGGTGTAATACCATTGTCACAGAACAACAGACAAATTGTAAGAGCAGAATCACTTCAAAAGTGAATAGAGCAATGAAATCATGTGGATATATGGATAGGTCTGTCAAGAACAAGCAAAAACTATTTGAAAGAAAAGTGAAGAACGAGAAAAGGCCAAGTAAGGAGAAGAACAAATTGAAAAGCCATGTGTCCATCCTTTACATCACGAGATTATCCGAAATCATCATGAGGATATATCGTGACCAAGGCAAAGCAACAGTCATGAAGTCCCACTGGACGCCTCGTAATATTCTTGTACACCCTAGGATACATCGCAGAATGCGTGTACAAAATAGGATACAAGATCTGTGACGCATCATATAATGGAGCAACTGGAATGCAATATAATTGCACCGAACCGGTCATTTGTCTGATAAAGGTAACAGAGTGCTTTCGAACTAGTCATCCAAACGTCGGACAGAAACAATCGACTAGTTATGCTACATAAGCCTGTATCGAAAATGTGAGATAGTAAAAATCTTCATGGGAGAGTGTAAAGTTGTATGGGGTTGTGATGGTGTGAGGTTATATTTAATGGTGACATACCTCCTGCTACAGAGCATTACCATGACGACACCTCCGACCGCCGACAGAACCGCCCCGGTACCTCCTATAATGTAAGCCGCCAGTCGTCCTGGGGAGGAAACAACAAAGCATAAACATCCTTGCCTTAAATACCTAAAAGCAATCAATAGGGCAATCCACAGAGCGAGTTTTCTAAGTAACAGTGACCTTGAGGGTAGAATTCTGAAATTCCAACTCGTTTGAGCTATACTTGTACGTAAACCCTTTATGTAGTTTAATTGGAATCGGATTGAAAATAAGGGTGGTAGAGTGATGACAAGGAAATGCTAAGTGATTTATCTATTTAAGGACTTTATAGTGACCTTGAAGTAAGAATTCTGATTTTCCATCAATCTCATTCGAGTTGTTATGGTGCTGAATCTTTGACGGTCAGACGCCTATCAAAATTTGAATATAAACAAGTTTTCAGCGAGCTTACTAGTGACTTGCCATAATTAAATAATCACTTATCTTTAAAAACAAATCGTTAAATATTTCTTTTAAGCATATTCGCCTAGTTTTCAATTCGTCCTGTATACCAGGTACCGCTGATGAACTACATGTATATATATATAATGAATAGGCCAAAAGAAACCAGTTAGGAAGGGGGCTCATTTAATGGTAGCCGTGGTATCAAGAGAAACATAGCACTAACCTGCTTCAGTAGGAAACTTTTCGTCACTGACGTCATCGCTCACGTGGGCCTGTGGTACATGAGGAGGAGTATTTTGAACTGGGTTGTTTGTGGCTTCTGTATTTCGCGAGGCAGAATTCCCAATGAATTCAACATCAGTCGGAAGCTGTGCGGATTTGGTGCCGTTTACCGCCGCCTTGGGACCTCCTCGAGAAGGAGGACCTTTGTTCTGTGGCCAACGGCCCAATGGGGGACCTTGTGGGAAACCCCATCGCCGAGACATCGGACCCTCAGCAAAGAGGTCTAAGTTTCTGTGTCGGCGTTGGCGCATGAATCTCCAAAACGGTGACACGGTTGCAGGGGGGTAGAATCGCGGCCGGTTGTGTTGAGGGAAGGTGCCCTGCGGAGAAGTGCTGTTACTGGCTGTTGAGTTAACTCCCCTGACAGGCTCGGGGCCATACGGGGGGTAGTTCCTTGGCCCGTATCGTTGACCATCGTTGTAACCTCTGTCCCAATAAGGGGGTCGATGTCTCTGACCGCCCCATCGTCCACTTGGTCCACGTTCGGCCCAAGGCCCAGAGGCACGTGCGGCATTCCTTCCCGAACCTTGTGTAGAATTATTGTCATAATATGGGTTCTGGAATGGCGAGACTGTCGTCAAAAACCTGTTGTAGGCAGCACCGCCGTAGGGACCGGCAAAGTACCCGCCCATTTGTCTATAAAGGGGGTCATTCGCGCCGCCTTGAGCTTTTGCTTGTTGGTCTTGTTCTGAAAACACAGCACCGCACTGAACAGACACCTCGTGTGAGGCACCGTCCGGCACTGTAATACAATAATTTAAAACGGATGTTTATGTGAATTGGAACATTCTAACATATACTGTCTTCCATTTAAGTAAAAGATCATCACACGGACAAAAAGCAACCAATTTTAGTTAGTATTTGGAGCTTTTAGGTTTGCAGACTATTGTTTGAAGTCACCTAAGCTGTTGCATACGCAACTAAAATACAGGACCATACAAACAGCAAGATTGTTATTAGATATCAATCTGAGTCCTTGAATCGGAAAACAGCGTTGTAAGTTAACACATCACAGTATATCAGGTAGTTCCCACGTGCATTTTACCTTGGGCATAGGCTAGTTGATATCGGTCGGTGATAACCGAAAGTTTATACTCTGACATTTTATTTCAAAAAGGAAGTTGAAAATTGGGATTCATATAAATTAGAAAGAAGTTAAAATGTGGATACGATTATTTTGACCAGAAAATGGCACATACCTGCAATTTTGGCCAGGAAGCCATCGTTGAGAAATGCCGATTTTGTTCCATAAGTTAGTCGGACAGAGCCCTGGTGAACGTCCTTGGTGACTGTCCTCCTCCCGCAGATATTGTTCTGCTTGTTCACAGCTGTTTGGTTGCCCGATGACTTGCTCTCCACTAGAAGGTAGTTGGTGTCACATCGTGCTCTGTCCGTGTTGGACTGGACATAATCCAGTGTTATTTGTCCATTAACTTTGCCCTTTATTATACACTCGCAAGTGGAAGCTCCACTTCTGGTTTTCGGGGACGTGATGAACAAAGTGGACAACAGGACATTTGTTGAGGAATCGTGGCAAATATCAAACACTGACCATGCTGAAAAGACGAGAAAGCAAAGGTTTGAAAGGTATAGTAAGTCATATAACAGTTTTCTAGCTGACGTCTTTGATAGTATGCTTTTTCTCGTGGGGTTTTCTCAATATTTTAGGTCCATATATTGAGCTTAATCGTAATTTTTGTAAAACGTTTTTTAAACGTTTACCAAGTAAGTGTTCTAATTCGTGTTTCACTTATGGAACAAATGTGGTTTTCTCAATGTATTCCGGTTTCCGGTAAGAAAATATTCCCGTACCTTCATTTCGGAAACAATGACGTATTATTACTAACTTTACTCACGTGATTTTATAACAATAGCGTACTTACGATTGACACATTCGTACTCCACGTGTATGAAGTTGCTGCTGGTGCCACAATGAGGGATCAGCTTAGAAGTGGTGCTTGGGAAACACCGGATCTTCCTATCACACATGACTGATATCCGACTATTACTGTATAGGACATCATCACAGAACTCGTTCGGGCTGCCACAAGACGCGAACGGACCTCCCGTGCCGTGGATGACCTTAGACACGAGGATGCGCGTGCCAGGCACGTCACCACATCCAAGTGTTCCCGTCATTGTCGATGAGGAGGGGGACATCAGGTCTTCCGATGAATGTGAATCATCATCATCTGACTGACTAGAAAAGAATCCCCCCGAAAATCCCGGTTTTCCCTGAAGACACGCGTATCGGGTCTGGGCTCCTGCAAGTAAACAATGAGAGACTCATGTTACGTCGTACTTGTACACCACCTAGATGTGTTGTGAAATGGAGTAATAATCCAAAAATTTCTCGAGAGGTTTTTCTCCTAAAATCTGTCATAACTCTAAACGGCTGATTTACTCGCTGATAACATGAATGACGTAATAAAATGACAATGAAATGACGTCCTTACTTCTATAGTGGCTGCCAAGTTATGTCATGAACACTTCCATGTCACATTTCTTATTTTCTTTTATCTAACCCAATAACACACATCGAGGCGTCAGAATTAAGACGGGAGGTCTGACGTCATAGCATTATGACGTTGCATATCTAACAACATAAATGACGCCAACGTCTTGACGATGGTAAGAGAAAAAAATATTGAATTCGTTATCATTTTCCGTGAAATTTATGAAACTCCAGTTTCGCTAAAATAAAATCTTCCAAACCCGTGTCTTAAATCTAATGTTGAACCTGTATTCATTACACTCCAGATCAATCATGTTTCAAGTATGGATTCAAAGAGACATTCTTTGAGAGGGATTATAACTAAAATCACTATCGAAAACATAATTGTTTTTTTTACAAAAGGGCAGATAGAGGCGGACAATATGTATCCTCGATATCCAGGAGTTACGCTCATTTTCGCTCTCTGCACCCCTGGAATATGTCATAGCACAATCGAAGGCACGCGGCTAGCTAGGCTATTTGACTGATGTCAGGTAAAAAAAAAACTGACCAATCGCTAAGCTGATACTTGTCCTTCGAAGATCACAGAGGAGCGACGCCCGATTTCAAAGCCAGTAATTTTACCGTTACGCGACCGCGAGATTCTTTTGACGTATATCATAGGATCAAACTAGTCTTTTTGTCTCATCCACAGTGTGCTGCACACCTAGCCTTCGATTTTGCTATGACATATTCCAGGGTTGTAGAGAGTGAAAGTGAGCGTAACTGGATATAGAGGATGGACGATATGCCGATTGCTGTAAGCCTTTGATCATGGCGAAGTTTAGCAAGTGTTGTTTTATTTACTTTTTTTGTAAGGGCGAAATTACGAATTGTCATATATCGGCCACCAACAGAAGTATTGTGATAGTACTTATATACTTAATTTAGAAGCATATTATAATCTATTTATATTTAAAGACGTCGTCTTAAGCTCCGTTTATTAAGTACGTACATATATAGGAGTGACATCTTTTCCAGCTGCTTTCATAACGTATACCCGGTTAAAATATTTCGTGTTATCTCATCATTTTTATAGTATCACATTATCTACCACACGTACAGGTCAGGTCACACATAGTCTTAATTAACGGCCTATTACCACGCAGGGCCACCCGGTAGATAATATGTACACGATAGGCATGTCAAGAGAGACACAAGGAAGTGTAGTAAAAGATAAACTTCTGAACTGTTGACGTCCTACTACACATAATGTAACAGGAGAGGACAAAAGCACGACCGGATCAGGATTCTAACTTTATTTAGTCTCGTTCAACCAGACGCTTGATCACTTGTAATTCAAGCTTGCGCAGGCAACAAGATATGGTTGAACGAGACTAAACTCTATACGGACACAATTACCAATCGAGCGGTCTGTTCGCCGACGCTCGACTCGGTCAATTTCCGTTGCTATATGATATTTAATATCTATATCTAATATATAATATATACACAGTACATATGTACTTGGTTCCAAATCATACAAAAAATGTCTACTTGATCCAAATCATACACGAAATGTCTTATTGGTCCAAATCTTACACAAAATGTCTACTTGGTCCAAATCATGCGCAAAATATCTACTTGGTCCAAATCATACACAGAATGTCTACTTGGCCCAAATCATACACACATTGTCTACTTGGTCCAAATCATACACACAATGTCTACTTGGTCCAAATCATACACATTGTGTAAATGGTCCAAATCATACACAAAATATCTACTTGGTCCAAATCATACACACAATGTCTACTTGGCCCAAATCATACACACAATATCTACTAGGTCCAAATCATACACACAATGTCTACTTGGCCGAAATCATACACACAATATCTACATGGTCCAAATCATACACACAATGTCTACTTGGTCCAAATCATTCAGAAAAAGTCTACTTGGTCTAAATCATACACACAATGTCTACTTGGCCCAAATCATTCCCACAATGTCTACTTGGCCCAAATCATACACACAATATCTACTTGGTCCAAATAATACACACAATGTCTACTTGATCTAAATCATACACACAATGTCTACTTGGCCAAAATCATACACACAATATCTACATGGTCCAAATCATACACACAATGTCTACTTGATCTAAATCATACACACAATGTCTACTTGGTCCAAATCATACACACAATGTCTACTTGGTCCAAATCATACACACAATGTCTACTTGGTCCAAATCATACACAAATGTCTACTTGGTCCAAGTCATACACAAAATGTCTACTTGGCCCAAATCATACACAAAATATCTACTTGATCCAAATCATACACAAAATGTCTACTTGGTCCAAATCATACACACAATGTCTACTTGGCCCAAATCATACACCAAATGTCTACTTGGCCGAAATCATACACACAATATCTACTTGGTCCAAATCATACACACAATGTCTACTTGGTCCGAATCATACACACAATGTCTACTTGGTCCAAATCATACACACAATGTCTACTTGGTCCAAATCATTCACAAAATGTCTGCTTGGTCTAAATCCTACACACAATGTCTACTTGGCCCAAATCATACACCAAATGTCTACTTGGCCGAAATCATACACACAATGTCTACTTGGTCTAAATCATACACAAAATGTCTACTTGGCCGAAATCATACACACAATGTCTACTTGGTCTAAATCATACACAAAATGTCTACTTGGCCGAAATCAGACACACAATGTCTACTTGGTCCAAATCATACACACAATGTCTGCTTGGTCCGAATCATACACACAATGTCTACTTGGTTCAAATCTGGTCCAAATCATACACACAATGTCTACTGTTTACTTGGTCTAAATCATACACACAATGTCTACTTGGTCTAAATCATACACAAAATGTTTACTTGGCACAAATCATTCACCAAATGTCTTCTTGATCCAAATCATACACACAATGTCTACTTGGTCCAAATCATACACACAATGTCTACTTGGCCCAATCATACACACAATGTCTATTTGGTCCAAATCATACACACAATGTCTACTTGGCCCAATCATACACACAATGTCTACTTGGCCGAAATCATACACACAATGTCTGCTTGATCTAAATCATACACACAATGTCTACTTGATCCAAATCATACACACAATGTCTACTTGATCCAAATCATACACACAATGTCTACTTGATCCAAATCATACACACAATGTCTACTTGGTCCAAATCATACACACAATGTCTACTTGGTCCAATCATACACACAATGTCTATTTGGTCCAAATCATACACACAATGTCTACTTGGCCCAATCATACACACAATGTCTACTTGGCCGAAATCATACACACAATCTCTAGTTTGTCAAAAACATACACATTGAGTTAATGGCCCTAATCATACACAAAATGAATACTTGCCTTAAAGCATGCCAACGTAACTTGGCTCAAATAATACACTAAAGTATCGGCACATAATCTTTCAATAGAAACGAAAGACCGAAGCAATAGATATCGTACATTTAAACATGTACTAACTGATTTATCAGAGGTAGAAGTTGGATAGCATATTCTATTTACATGCATACCACATTTAGACATAAGGAGGAAATGTATTTGAAAATGACCTATAAACCGACTCCTTTGCATTTTCAGGTTATGGGTCGAAAATAAATTTATCGATCTGTTTCTTATAAAAACGGGTAGTACGTACTGGGTAAACATAACTGGTGAGTCATGAGATTACTTCCTCTTCGTTAGGATATCAGCCTACAATAAAGGTACCACACCTAGCGGGTTTTACTATAAACAAACGTGTGATTACCTTTAATACACCTGTAATTAGATAAAAGATTGTCGTAAACAGATACCGGGAAAAGTTCATCGCTTACCTATAAATATCAGTGTTAATTTTGAGTCATATATTTGGTATCAATATCAATGTCTACTCGACGGCTTTCTCCAGAGGATACGATAACTCCATCACACCATGACATAATATGTTAATCTGGACTTCAGAAACACAATCCACTGCTGTAAGGTTACACCCTTCATTTATATAATTGTATGACAACATTATACCCGTAATTTATATAATTGTATGACTGCATTATACCCGTAATTTATATAATTGTATGACAACATTATACCCGTAATTTATATAATTGTATGACTGCATTATACCCGTAATTTATATAATTGTATGACTGCATTATACCCGTAATTTATATAATTGTATGACGACATTATAGCCGTAATTTATATAAATGTATGACAACATTATATCCGTAATTTATATAATTGTATGACTACATTATATCCGTAATTCATATAATTGTATGACAACATTATATCCGTAATTTATATAATTGTATGACAACATTATACCCGTGATTTATATAATTGTATGACTACATTATACCCGTAATTTATATAATTGTATGACGACATTATAGCCGTAATTTATATAATTGTATGACAACATTATACCCGCGATTTATATAATTGTATGACTACATTATACCCGTAATTTATATAATTGTATGACTACATTATACCCGTAATTTATATAATTGTATGACTGCATTATACCCGTAATTTATATAATTGTATGACTGCATTATATCCTTAAATTATATAATTGTATGACTGCATTATACCCGTAATTTATATAATTGTATGACGACATTACAGCCGTAATTTATATAATTGTATGACAACATTATACCCTTAATTTATAAAATTGTATGACAACATTATACCCGTAATTTATATAATTGTATGACAACATTATACCCTTAATTTATAAAATTGTATGACAACATTATACCCGTAATTTATATAATTGTAAGACTACATTATACCCGTAATTTATATAACAGTTAAGTATTTATTATACCCGTTTTGCCCGGGATTCATATAATAGTTAACGTCCGTTATACCCGAAATTTATACAAGAACAAGCCTTCATTATACCAGTGATTTATATAAGAACAAACCTTCATTATACCCGTGATTTATATAAGAACAAGCCTTCATTTACCCGTGATATATATCAAAGCAAGTCTTCAGTATACCCGTGATTTATTCGAGAGCTAGTTTACGTTATACCCGTTATTCACGTGATTTATAGTAGAGCAATCCTTCATTACACCCGTGATTTATACGAGAGCTAGCTTACATTATACCCATTATTTATATTAGAGCAATCCTTCATTACACCCGTGATTTATACGAGAGCTAGCTTACATTATACCCATTATTTATATTAGAGCAATCCTTCATTACACCCGTGATATATATCAGAGCTAGCTTACATTATAACCGTTATTTATATTAGATTTAGCTTACATTATAACCGTTATTTATATTAGAGCTAGCCTAGCTTACATTATACCCGTGATTTATACGAGAGCTAGCTTACATTACACCCGTGATTAATACGAGAGCTAGCTTACATTATACCCGTTATTTATATTAGAGCAATCCTTTATTACACCCGTGATTTATACGAGAGCTAGCTTACATTACACCCGTGATTTATACGAGAGCTAGCTTACATTATACCCGTTATTTATATTAGAGCAATCCTTCATTACACCCGTGATTTATACGAGAGCTAGCTTACATTATACCCGTGATTTATACGAGAGCTAGCTTACATTATACCCGTTATTTATATTAGAGCTAGCTTACATTATACCCGTTATTTACGTGATTTATATTAGAGCAATCCTTCATTACACCCGTGATTTATACGAGAGCTAACTTACATTACACCCGTGATTTATACGAGAGCTAGTTTCCATTACACCTGTGATATATATCAGAGCTAGCTTACATTACACCCATGATTTATATGAGAGCTAGCTTACATTACACCCGTGATTTATACGAGAGCTAGCTTACATTATACCCGTTATATATATATATGAGCAATCCTTCATTACACCCGTGATTTATACGAGAGCTAGCTTACATTATACCCGTGAATTATATGAGAGCTACCTTACATTACACCCGTGATTTATACGAGAGCTAGTTTACATTACACCCGTGATTTATACGAGAGCTAGCTTACATTACACGCGTGATTTATACGAGAGCTAGCTTACATTATACCCGTGAATTATACGAGAGCTACCTTACATTACACCCGTGTTTTATACGAGAGCTAGCTTACATTACACCCGTGATTTATACGAGAGCTAGCTTACATTATACTCGTTATTTATATTAGAGCTAGCTTACATTATAACCGTGATTTATACGAGAGCTAGCTTACATTACACCCGTGATTTATACGAACGCTAGCTTACATTACACCCGTTATTTATATTAGAGCTAGCTTACATTACACCCGTGATTTATACGAAAGCTAGCTTACATTACACCCGTTTTTTTATATTAGAGCGTTCCTTTGTAAAGGAGAAGCATATATAGCAGTGAAGTAGCTTAAGTAATCCTCCTAAGGGAGCTAACTCGACAAAAATAGCTGGTTACAATATCTTCATAAATTAAACGATAAATTTTGGCCTAAAAGTATGAAATATTCATTCTTCGTCGGTATTTTTTTTTATATAAATGGAAAATAATAACATTTTAATTTAAAAACTAATGTTTTTACACAACGGCATCTAAAAAGGGGGACATATGTTTTCTAGATTTATAAATAAATATTATAAGTTTCCGCATTGTAATATATCCTGTTTATCGACAATGCTACTGTATGATGTCCTAATTACTACAATGTACCATTATAACGTAACATAAAGACCTAAGTACCTGGTGTGACAGGCGACTGACACCAAACATGTAAACGTACAGGTCAGGGCGCCCCCGGATGCGCCATTAGTTCATAATTACAGCACCGTTAGCATGAAGTCGATTAGTCATTTGCGCAGTGAACAAGTTAGGGTTTTGACCTTTGCTCAGTACAAAGGTGACCTCAGATGTCCCGTACATCGCTTACACGCCACACTCAAGTGATTACGACATCGACCCAATGAGCCGGAACAATACAAGATCAATCTGAAGGGCTTTTAAAAACAAAAACAAAAAGATACTCGTTTTCCAATCTGAATTTTTATATTTAAATTTGTTTTTATGAGTGACACGTTCAGTCTAGATTTGCATAATTTCTGGCACAACTTGATTATATCCGCCTGTTTTAAGAGTACTGGCCTTCTTAACTGCTAATATAAAAAGAAAATCGTATGCGCATATAAAAGGGAACTAGCATGGTATTTCTTAAAATGTAGTTCATAAGTCTGAAATTTGGTGAACTTCAAATTGATACAGTCAAACCTCTATTTCTCGATGTGTCGAGCTTACGGCAAAGTCCGGATATTTTCCCTTATATCACACTACTAATATTTTATTCATGGATAGCTTGTGTTTCGTCACATAAGAATCCCAATCTGCTGTATGTGCACGATCTCGATGTTCGATGTTCAATTTTCGTGAGTCGAAGTCCCGATGTTTCGAATTTTTCCCGATGGAATTTTGACTGTATATCCATCTTTCTTTTCACCATATTGAGATTACGCAAACGGAAGGAAAAGCAGAATATTCAATCGATCATTCGGTCGTTTGCATATCATATGTACATCTTCTTTATTACCTTGAGTCTTTCAACTTATATCGGTTTCATAAGTGAGATATTTACAAGTTTTACAATATTTACATACAACACAACACAACACAATACAATACAATACAATACAGCACAATACAATACCGTACCAACACCATACAAACTGTACGCAAAGAGTAACCAATTATGTTAATTGGTTTCTTCTTACATTTGATGCTTTGATATGTTTGGCCAAATTGACTAGTTCTTTTGTGTTATTTATATTAAATAATTCTATCATTTTAAACATATTTGGCTTTTTCTATGGTAATTTTTCAAAAACTTTACACGCAGAACAAAATAACATAGCCATTTTAACATGAAATGCAACTCATCTTCAACATCATTTAAATGACATACAGTACATACTCCAAGACCACTTTCAATATTTTGATATCTACCTTTGTCTGTATTAAAATATGAGCAGTTAACCTAATTTTTGTAATTTCCTTCAGATATTCTCTTGTTAATAGTTTTCGTTATTAACATTGTAAATCTAGGAAATACTCACTGGTCTGTATGCTCAGGAACTGAAGAATCAAACCAATCGGCAGGAACGCACATATAACGTAATTCATGATCGTTGGTGTCAGTTTGAACCCTCTTCACAAGCTTGTATGTCCAGCTGCATCTAATTTTAAGATATGTTACATTGCTAGGCTCCGACATACATCCTCTCCATCAAGTTTAGAAAGTTTGGTAACTTGATATCTTCCACTTGTCTCCTAATCTCCCTGGTAACGTTACTTACACCCTCACGTGCCTAGTCCTCGCGCTCGTATGTGGGGTCTTTGAATCACACGTCACATATCCGATTAGTCCCAGCTATGGTTCATTTCACTTGGATTAACGAATGACAGATAATTAATGTATCAATCATCATGACGTCACAGCCGTAGCTCCGAGACAATCACCCTTTCTTGTATTGCTGTCCTCGGCCGAGCATTACGTGGTACGAGTTTTTGCTACAACACTTTTTCCTGATTCCGTTTTGCAGAAAGATTACAAAATACATGTTTTATCTTTAATGTTGCTGTATTCTTTATATCGTTTTCAAGAACAATATTGTTTATTTTGTAACATTAGAATAAACTCTTCATCTATTTATACATGGATTCCTTGTGTTCCCTCAACCCTAGAGTACAACCTGTTGACTGTTTTGTGACATGTGTTCCCCTAGTAGACTGCAATAGGACTTACAATTAATCGTCTCCCATTTCCGAGTAAGTGCCCCCCTCTTCCTCCTCCCTAGTAAACAACTCAGGGTTGCAGGTCCGGTGATAAAATAGTAGGATTTCAGGAAAAGACTCTAATCTCTCTCCCGAATATCTGAGCAAGTGTCTCCGGAGTAGAGCGTGCGTTTTAGGACATTTAACTCTTAATGTATTCTTCCAAGAGTATTTTAGAGCAAGGGTCATCAAGATAAATTCCCGCTCTAATGGTCACTTCCGGTTTCTGCGGCGAGCAAGATGGACGTCTTCAACTAAGATTCAGAAATAGGTGTAAATATATCTTAAAACATGTAATATCTATCGTTTTGCTCTAATGCTAACTCGGACGTGTCGCCTATATATTAATTATATATTTCATCTATGATCCACGATTATTTTGCTGATCGGCCTTAGTATTCAACGGTTCAATGTTCTGTTGTATGTATCATGGTTTTTTAATTATGTCGTCTAAATGCTTTTGTTTCCTTACAGGACGTTCAATATCCTGTGGTTGACGCAAGTGTCCTTTATATAACAGTTAGTTAAACCAAAAGTAAACACAATAATCAATAGAAGGAACATTGAGCAGGAAAACCCCAACAAATCATGAATAACTACAAAGAAGCGAAAAGAAACCCCGACAGGTAAGCACAGCCTGACTGAATTGGTTTGGTTTGGTTCAGTATTGTTTAACGTCCTATCAACAGCTATGGTCATTTAAGGACGTACTCCCCTGTGTGAAAGATGCACTCGTGTAGTGTATGCGTGTGTGTTTTGAGAGGCTGCGTTATGTTCGTGTTTGTCTCCTTGTGATAGCACGGAACTGATGCCGACTTTATAGTGCGACCTCACTGAAGCATACCGCACCCCTCTCGGTCATATTAGACTGACAACGGGCGAACCAGTCGTCCCACTCCTAAATTGCTGAGCGTTAAGCAGAAGTAGAAACTACCATTTTAAAACATCAACAATGACACTGGTTCCTCCTGGAGATATGTCTAATCAAGATAGACGATGAAAGAAGTTACTTAATTGACAACTGAGAATTTAAGGCTGCACTTTGTTGGCTGATTTGTATCATTTCGATGTTTCGTCTTTTCGAACCAAAAATTCGCCTTTCCGCCCCAAACAGACGAAACAACGAGAATTAAAAGTTACTGAATCTCGTGTTTTCGGGTCGAGAAACAACAAAATGGCACAACTCAATCACCGCACTGCACATCTTAGCAAGATCTAAACAGAAGATCAGCCTGCCCAGAATATCAATGATAAATATCGAGGGATCCGACGTCAGAAGATATCGGGCGAATATCAAACGCACAAAATTATACGCAACGACGACACACAAACAACACCGCATCCAAAATTACCAAAAGAAACAGCAAATGAAATTTCGAAACAACCACAAACTGGAATTTTTCTAAACTTCAAGAAACATTCTATATCACAAGCATAAAATGAAGCAAATGTTACAAGCAAAATCTCAAGAATGGTACTGTCACCTTCAAGTCTAAGTGCCATCTGCAAGTCCACGTGTCATCTACAAGTCTAAGTATCGTCTACCAGTATACGTATCATCTACAAGTCCACGTGTCATCGACGAGTCAAAGTGACATCTACAAGTCTACGAATCATCTACAAGTCTTAGTGTCATCTACAAGTCTACTTGTCATCGACAAGTCAAAGTGTCATATACAAGTCTAAGTATCGTCTACCAGTCTAAGTGGCACCTACAAGTCAAAGTGTCATCTACAAGTATAAGTGTCATCTACAAGTATAAATGTTATCTACAAGTCTTAGTATCATCTACAAGTATAAGTGTCACCTACAAGTCAAAATGTCATCTACAAGTCTAAGTGTCGTCTATAAGTCAAAAGTCTAAGTGTCACTTACAAGCTTAAGTGTCATCTACAAGTCTAAGTATCGTCTATAAGTCAAAAGTCTAAGTGTCACTTACAAGCTTAAGTGTCATGTACAAGTCTAAGTGTCGTCTACAAGTCAAAGTGTAATCTACAAGTCTAAGTGTCGTCTACAAGTCTAAGTGTCGTCTATAAGTCAAAAGTCTAAGTGTCACTTACAAGCTTAAGTGTCATGTACAAGGCTAAGTGTCATGTACAAGGCTAAGTGTCATCTACAAGTCTTAGTGTCATCTACAAGTTTAAGTGTCATCTACAAGTCTTAGTGTCATCTACAAGCTTAGGTGTCATCTACAAGCTTTAGTGTCATTTACAAGTATAAGTGTCATCTACAAATTTTAGTGTCATTTACAAGCTTAAGTGTCATTTTTAAGTCTAAATGGCATCTATAATCTTAAGTGTAATCTACAAGCGTAAGCGTCATCTACAAATCTAAGTGTCATCTACAAGTCAAAGTGTCATCTTCAAGTCTAAGTGGCATAGACAAGTTTAAGTGTCATTTACAATATTAAGTCTAGGTGGCATCTCCGAGCCAAAGTGTTATCTACATGTACAAGCTTAAGTGGTGTCATATACAAGTCTAAGTGTCATTTACAAGCTTAAGTGTCATTTACAAGACTAAGTCAAGGTGGCATCTCCAAGCTTAAGTGTTATCTACAAGCTTAAGTGTCACCTTCTAGTCTAGGTGTCATCTACAAACTTTAGTGTCATCTACAAGAACAAGTGTCATCTACAAGAACAAGTGTCATCTACAAATATAAGTGTCATTTACAAACTTAAGTATCATCTACAAGAACAAGTGTCATCTACAAGTACAAGTGTCATCTACAAGCTTAAGTGTCATCTTCTAGTCTAGGTGCCATCTACAAGTATAACTGTCATCTACAAATCTAAGTGTCATATACAAGTCTAAGTGTCATCTACAAACTTTAGTGTCATCTACAAGTACAAGTGTTATCTACAAATCTAAGTGTCATCTACAAATCTAAGTGTCATCTACAAGTATAAGTGTCATCTTCAAATCTAAGTGTCATATACAAGTCTAAGTGTCATCTACAAACTTTAGTGTCATATACAAGTACAAGTGTTATCTACAAATCTAAGTGTCATATACAAGTCTAAGTGTCATCTACAAGCTTAAGTGTCATCTTCTAGTCTAGGTGCCATCTACAAGTATAACTGTCATCTACAAATCTAAGTGTCATCTAAAAATCTAAGTGTCATCTACAATATAAGTGTCATCTACAAATCTAAGTGTCATCTACAAGCTTAAGTGTCATCTACAAGTATAACTGTCATCTAAAAATCTAAGTGTCATCTTACAAGACTTATTGTCGTCTACAAGCTAAAATGTCATCTACAATTGTACCACTCTAAATGTCATTTACAAGTTCTCGGCAGTGTATATATACGAACAGGGAGGGAAGCTGTCAATATCGAAAAATCTATCCAACCTAAGGTTCTTGCATCAGAAACCAAATTTCTAGTTAGTATCAGTTCCCTGTGATAATATAAACAAATAAACGTCAATAAAAAATTATGTGTGTGTGATGTACGACAGGGAGGAAAGAATTGGGTTCGCATTCCCCCCTCCCCGGTTTTTACAAAATACGGAACAACTCATGTTTTTTTTCAAAGTATGCATCGCTTTTTCATTGGGCAAGAAAAAAAGGAATTGTATGCAAAATTCTGCAGTTTGAACATATTTGCGCTAACTATTCATACTTCAGACGTGGAAAATCACAACTGCATGTAGACTATAATATAATGTCACACTATATATAGAATGACACTTAAAGGAACGCCTAGAAGAATCACTTTTCGTTTATCAAAACAGTGAAATCCGGTAGCTTTTTGGTTCGTTTAAGTATGTTTGGAGAAGGTTTTCCTAAAATAATTTAAACTTTATTTGTATTTGACCTCCCCCCCCCCTTTCCCGCCCCTCTATTTAACATTTGTGTAATGACATATACGTCAACGCTTTATAAGGAAGCCGCTATATAAGAGCATACGATTGTTTTTAATGGTCTCTAAACTCAATTATATGCCCTAAGATACAAGATGTTCTGAAGTTTGTGTAGTTAAAGTGTATCCTGAATGATTAGCTATATGACGCTATGAAAATACTTCATTTTAAACAATAAAAGGCCACAAAGTGCGAACCTCGTGAAGGCCTAGCTCAGTTTTCAAGATATTGCGATTTTTTTGCGATAGCGAGAGGACCGAGAAGAACATTTTTTCTGAAGTTATAAAATTCTGATATTTCAAGCATATCATGCAATTGAACACATGGACCTGGGATGTGTTACAGCTGTTCAGTGTAAATGTATACGCTTTAGGGGTTTATATCAAACGTTTAAATTTATTTTGAACACCTTAGTGTAGCTGTAACTAAGTGCTCATGTCAAAACAAGTCAACCTGCAAGTTGATGCTGTTCGACGGGCCTTTGCAGTATCGCCGTAAATGTAAATGTAAAATGTCCCTGTGCAATTCAATGGGGCGGTCGCCACCTCGGGGGTAAGGCACAGACAAGCGTCATCCCATGTACACTGGTATATGCTTATATGGTCTCTAGTCTTCTCTCCACTATTACGCAAACACAACAATAAGACAAATATCCATTTGCCGTACTAGCCCGTGTGCCCTTAGAGCCCGGCGTTTAATGCATTTTATAAAATGACAACAAGACGACAATATACATTCGATAACCTGCATGTTCCAATATTCAAAGTATATGTTGCATTAATTATGTAGAGTAAACCTTGAAGACACAATTATATTTGCAGCACTATATAAAAATTATACTCGGAGCTCGCCGTCTTCAACTTAACTTGCCGCCCAGAAAAAAAAACCGGAGATAATCCCCGGAAATCTGTGTCCGACTTGGCGGGAAAACAATAACATCCCCTGCAGGATAGTCTAGGCGTAGCGCTGGACCTGCGCTACAGTTTATAGAAAAAAACTCCCCGAAAAAAACCCCGCAACACGTCGAAATACAAATATATATAATTTCCCTATTCATGGACATCATTCTAGCATATTTCATTACTAATGAAAAATAAAACAAAGAAAAAATCTGTACGCACGGCTAGAGAATGACCCAACTACTCTATAGCAACGTACGCGTGTACCCGGCTATAGTCAACAGCACGTGCTGCTTGCTTTCTCGTGCCGATAAGACGAATAAATCCCGCCTTTTCTTTCAGAACCGTGGGATTATTTGATTATAAGCATATAGCGGGATGGGTTTATCTGTGACTTGCCCCTGTGGTACAGACTTTACATTCATTGAAATATAATATATATTACGATATAAACAACGTAGAGAACAGAGAATCAGTTTGAAAAATGTAATTGCTAAATGGACATTGAATAGTTTTGAATTTCCCGCGTTTTCTAGGTTTAACAAATTCTCCGAAATTTGGACTAGCTTCCTGGTTGTGTTATCAATATATACCGCGATGACTTCCTGTGTATATTCCTGTGATAGGTGAGCGACAGAAGTTAGAAGCTGGCGAAATGTTACCTTCCTAGGGTATCACGACCTGTACTTGGTCCGGACGGTTACAACTGGACAGGTGTGGACGGAGGGACTAACAGTAGCAGCGACTGTCCTAAATGGTCAGCGCGAGACACAGGTACCAAGTAGACGTACAATTACCTATCAACTGAACTACCTAAGTCTGTGATGGGTTCAGCCGTGACGTACAAGTCAATTCACACTGTTGATGTTAACTGTTAATAAACGGAAGCTTTTTACTTATTTTGTTCGATGACTATAAACAGATAAATACTGATAAATTGTGCTTTTAAAGTATAACCTTTCGTTTTGCCTACTGTTAACATTGCATGGTAGACTACACCCCGACTTGTGAATACCTGGGCACTGATAGTAATGTCAAGCTGGCTAAGCATATAATATTAGCCACAGGCGATAATAACACAATCTGAAATTTGGGTCAAGACGTCCATAACTTACTCAAATACATTGACCAGAAAGCACTCTCATGCTATCACCATGTATACACGCCTATTGTCTGATTGTAAAGAACTACTTACTAGAATATTAGAACTATCTACGTCTCTGATTAGAACACAATCTGATTAAGATTTCATTTAGGTCACAAACAACAGTGCAGACATGTTGGTTACATCAGTATGAGTAAATGTGTTTGGTATGCCCTTGTGCCAAACACCTGTGCACGTTTCACACTGGTAGGTTTGAATGAAGCTGTCAATTTTGTAACCGACGTGTAATATTGTAGTGATAAAGGTTATACATGTAGTCACTGTAACCATGTTTGAAGTACGGAGGTCAGAGCGAGCGACTGTAACATTTCATTGCCGTTCAATATTATCCATAGGGTACAGTAAAAAAATATGTTTTATATATATATATACATATACTTCTATCCATGTTAGATTGCTGTGCCTATCCCATAAGTTAACCCTTTCACCCCTAGGTAACTTTAGTAGACTCTACCATACATTGATTTGGATGAGTCCATTATGGTCTACAGTGGTGAAAGGGTTAAACTAAGGATACCAGCATCAACAAAAATATTGTTACATAATTAAGTGTAAAAACTGGAATGTGAATGACTTGTTGTAAGAATAAATTTCTTTGATTTTTTTTTTTGAAAGTCATAAGAGCCGATAAAATGTTTTTTTTTTTTAAATTTGGCAAGGAATGTAACTCTTCCTGGTCTACAGTGTACAATGTATTATGTACATCAAAGTGTTTTGAATGTGTAACTATTATATCATAATTAGACTGACCCCCGTCTCTAGAATATTGAATTATTTAGTTAAGGATTAACTTGAATATATTTTTCATGTGATGGAGATATAACACAAAAAAACGGAGTGTACTCTAAGTAAACCGCGAAGTGGTTTATGATGACAGTACACTCCGTTTTTTTGTGTTATAGCTCCATAACATGAAAAATATATTCAAGTTAATCCTTATAATTTAATCTACTTGACACAATCCCTGTGGAAATCCACTTTTTATTGATGGAGTCTTTTCTCTTAGAAATTATTACGCTGCTGTATCAGCCAATCAAAAGCGTCGTTACAAACGGCGACGTCCTTTTTTTACGTTACGGGCTGATAACATAATTTTTTAAGCCAATGAAAATGCTACAAGCAAGATTAGATTATAAAATATTAACCCTTTCACCCCTATGCAATTTTAGTAGACTCTCCCATGCACTTATCTGGATGAGTCCATTATGGTTTACAATGGTGAAAGGGTTAACTCTTATAATTTTGATCACTTGGCTGTCTGATTCTAGAGACCCTAATTTCTCAAACAAGAGGGAGATCTATACAAATGTAAGCAAGTCGAGAATCTTCATAAAATCTAAGGTCAGGTCTGATAGTCAGTTTATAATAAAATAGAAACTTAATGAAATGAAAAAGGGAAGTAATAGAGAAAAAGAATAAAATCAACTGAGTTGATAAAACTTGTTTCTTCGTGCAAAATCAGATTGGCAAGCTTTTCACTTAAATGTGATACTGGTTTTACAGTGTATGTTGAAGAGAAAATTGATAGTTTTGATGATGCTACTGAAAGTGTTTTTATTCATGAAATAAGGAGATGCGTACATGCCAAAAATTGTCATAGCCATGGACTGGACAGAAAATATTAAAAGGGCCATAACTCTATGAATAAGGGGCCCAGCCCCTTAGCTTTGATTTATTTAGTGACACTCAGACAGCCAAGACGTATATATATCAATAGTTTTAGGCCTCCAAGTCAAAAGATGTCAAGGAGTGGACAAAGAAAACAAATAAAAAGTCATTACTCTGCAAATAAAAGGCATTATTTCATGAATTTTGAGTGTGACACTCTGCCATGCTTAGATGCATATGTCCATACAAATGTGTGACCCTTAGCAAAATTACATAGGAATTTTGGTCATGATAAATGAAATATACCAAGGGCCATAACTCTGTAAACAAGAAATATAATGTGCCCAAATTTAGTATGGGTTTCTCCACAATGACAAGCTGTGTATGTCCATAAAGATTGGAATCCCCAAGTAAAACATACATTGTGTCACTGTAGGAAAATTAACTAAGGGCCATAACTCTTTAAATAAGAATATGTGGAACTCTTTAGTATGCCACAATCGTTATTGCAGAGATGTATTTATATGTCCATGAAGTTTTGCAGAACAAAAAAATGTAGGAGTAGAAGTCCTGATTCAAAATATAACAAGAAGATGATGAGAAGCAATTAACAGCAAGAAACCGGCATTTCTCCTTTCTCCCTTTTTGGAGATATAATTGGATTGTCGGAAATGTCATACTTCAAAATATCTGTCGTTATAAATTTCTGACGTCACTCCTCTCTGAGTAACTGTTACACTAAAACCCAACTAAGCTATTGACATGTAATGTTTAACTATATCACTAGATAGGAAACGTCCACTTACCACACTGACAAACACACTTGTGTTTGCTGTTGGTGGTGTAACCATCCCCTAGTGGTTATAGGCTGTACATTACAGTCGGAAACAAATGTAGCATTTTCTGTAATCGATGAAGTGATGATTCCGAGAAAAAATCATCATTCTGATAAGCTCTGAATCAGCTGGTAATTCTATTGGATAATATATATTAAGTTATTCCCCTTGTCACAGCTACAGTTAAATGAGGGTGCTGTGAGTTATGAGAAGTAAGGAGACAAACTGAAGGTAACACTTGGCCGGTTTTTCTTTATGTGTTCTGTTCAAAGGTAGTTTCATATCCTTATGATAATCATCATAAATATTCCTGATCAGTGATCAGAAAACCAGAGTGTTACAAATTTATATACAAATCTTCTATTGCAGTTTTTTCACATAAAACAGTTGTTGTTTTGTCAGACATTTTGTTTATATTTGTTAAGCGTAATCACAGCTTTCATTGTGTATATCAAAATTGAATAACAAAGACAAGAGGTCACATTCTTGACCTTGTAATCTGATTATCAGTAATTCTGGATGTATGAAAGTTTAACATGTAATACAAGAGAAAGAAAAAACAAACATTAACCTGGTTGATCTGTTGTATTAGATGTTTGATAATAATATTTTTGTCATCCAATCTTAACAGATAAGAGCACCTTACCCTGTAACAATGGCAGACCTAACTAGTACGACTGTTGCGGTGACGACCTCCATCCGCACGACCCCCCCCAGCACCAGCACTGTAGAAGATGGTAACACTACAGCTACGATCTCATCGACCACTCAAACATCGACTGAGCTCATCAGCAGTACTAATGCTACATCGACCACCATCAGTACCACCCCTGGGGGCGAGGAGCCTAATCATGTTGGAGGTATATTTCAAAATTATGTAAAGGTTACATTCAAAACATTTATGGGCGGATTGGTCGAGTGGTTAACACTTCCACGCAGGCGGCCGAGGTTCGATCCCCGAAGTCGTCATACGCATGGATATTAAGAGAAAGTGTTTTTCTCCTGCCCTTACAATAACCTAGGTGGAGTATGAATTGGTCTGGGGTGGATGTTGTGGTATCTGTGCTGTAGCATTCAAGTGAGGTGGCACTATAAATGATGCCTTTGAAAGCATGGCCCCACTACAAACAGAACGCATTACATCTCCAGCACACACGCAGGCATACACACATAGGGAGATATTAGCCAGGTGGCATAGGACTAGCAGTTAGCGCCTGATAAGGCAGCTCCTGCGAATTCCTCAAAATTGAATTGATTAATGTATTTATTATTTTTTCATTTTATTCCCGACAAGTTATTGGCCAGGAGTGCATCACGTGTCCACCGATAAAAACCGATATTGACTTGGAGCGCATGATTTTTGTTGAAGGATTGGGTGTTTCTAAAAATGACTCCAAACAAACGCGTCGTCCCGCTTCCGTAGATTTTTGCTGTGATTTTTTTCCAGATTGCTAACATTACTGTTTTGAAAATAATAAAACAATTGTAGCCTTTGACTTCGGGCGATACCTGGATTTATCAACCAGAGAAAAGATATATTGACCTCGGACTGCATCCTCTGTCAAATATCTTTTCTCGGGTAGATAAATCCAGGTATCGACCTCAGCCAAAGGCTATAATTGAATAATATATGCTAATTGTATTAATGGTAAATCTATGTATTGTGATGGATGTGTATTGTGGTGGATGTGTATTGTGATGGATGTGTATTGTGCGGGATGTGTATTGTGTGGGATGTGTATTGTGTGGGATGCATGGGATGTGTATTGTGATGGATGTGTATTGTGTGGGATGTGTATTGTGTGGGATGCGTGGGATGTGTATTGTGATGGATGTGTTTTGTGATGGAACTGTATTGTGATGGGTGTGTATTGTGATCGATATGTATTGTGATGGATGTGTATTGTGTGGGATGTGAATTGTGATGGGATGTGTATTGTGTGGTTTGTGTATTGTGTGGGATGTGTATTGTGATGGGATGTATATTGTGTGGGGTGTGTTTTGCGTGGGATGTATATTGTGTGGGATGTGTATTGTGTGGGATGTGTATTGTGATGGGATGTATATTGTGTGGGGTGTGTTTTGCGTGGGATGTATATTGTGTGGGATGTGTATTGTGTGGGATGTGTATTGTGATGGGATGTATATTGTGTGGGGTGTGTTTTGCGTGGGATGTATATTGTGTGGGATGTGTATTGTGTGGGATGTGTATTGTGATGGGATGTATATTGTGTGGGGTGTGTTTTGCGTGGGATGTATATTGTGTGGGATGTGTATTGTGTGGGATGTGTATTGTGATGGGATGTATATTGTGTGGGGTGTGTTTTGCGTGGGATGTATATTGTGTGGGATGTGTATTGTGTGGGATGTGTATTGTGTGGGATGTGTTTTGTGTGGGATGTGTATTGTGTGGGATGTGTATTATGTGGGATGTGTATTGTGTGGGATGTATATTGCATGGGATGTGTATTGTGATGGATGTGTATTGTGTGGGATGTGTATTGTGTGGGATGTGTATTGTGTGGGATGTGTTTTGTGCGGGATGTGTATTGTGTGGGATGTGTATTATGTGGGATGTATATTGTGTGGGATGTGTATTGCATGGGATGTGTATTGTGATGGATGTGTATTGCGTGGGATGTGTATTGTGATGGATGTGTATTGTGTGGGATGTGTATTGTGTGGGCTGTGTATTGTGTGGGATGTGTGGGGTGTGTATTATGTGGGTTGTGTATTGTGTGGGATGTGTGGGCTGTGTATTGCGTGGGATGTGTATTGTGTGGGATGTGTGGGGTGTGGATTGTGTGGGATGTGTATTGTGTGGGATGTGTGGGGTGTGTATTGCGTGGGATGTGTATTGTGTGGGATGTGTGGGGTGTGTATTATGTGGGATGTGTATTGTGTGGGATGTGTGGGCTGTGTATTGCGTGGGATGTGTATTGTGTGGGATGTGTGGGGTGTGTATTGTGTGGGATGTGTTTTGTGATGGAAATATCAGGTAAGAGCTAGGAGGGAGGAAAAGGTTCAAGTATGTAGGTATGAGATATATGGACATTCTAACATCAGGTATAGAATTTTTATAAATCTGTCCCAAATTTTACACCAAGGATAGATTTTCCATATCCCCCATACCAAAATAGAACAGACTGTATTGATAATATATAACTTCAAAAGACAAGAGTTATCTCCCACATTTTGTTATAAAGTTGTATGGTTTTTTTTCTTGAAAATTGAATAACATGGCCAATTAAATGTATTTCATTATTGGTTTTTTAATATGTGTCAACATTCAAAGTTCATTAATTGACCTTGATCTTAACTCATTCACCCCTGAAATTTCATAATGGACTATTCCAACCTTTGAATTGGAAGAGTTCAAATGTGTCCTGAGGGATGAATGAGTTATCAACACTATTAATGACCCTTGTGTCTTTACAGCTATTGTAGGAGGAGTTGTTGGGGGCATCCTGATGCTACTGGTCATTGCTGCAGTCGTGATTTTCATTTTTCGGTAAGTAATTATTGATGACCTTGGATTGTTGACAGAAGTCATTCAATGATAATTCTGATGTTAAAACAAATCCATCAACCTATCTGTATACATGTAGCCTCTTCTCAGACGTGTTGTTCATTACCTCACTTAAGCTTTAATGATGCTGTTATTATTTTTTCCTTCAAGAAGAATTACATCTGTTATTGATATTGACCTTTAAGTTGGAATTGATTTCAAAAAGTTACGGAGGTTGCATGAGGTCAATCTTTTTGCACTACTTCATGAAGAAGAGACAAATGCAGATTTAAAATATTTTGTAAATATTTATTGCGACACAAATTATAAAAATATAAATGATGTTGTTTCTTTCGCAAATTCAATATGAAGAGCATGCGTGAGAGTTAAGTATTAAGTGCTTTACAATAATCAACTACTTTAAGATGTACAAGACAAATATTAGGAAATAAGCTAATAATAACAGTGATTCAGGGGAGATAATCAGAAAAAAATGTGCTTGGGATTTAATCACTGCAGGAATGATGTCTTACTCTTTTGGTTATTGTAAAACAGAAAGAAAAAATATGTTGGGCTCCAGAGAAAAGAATCATTGTAGGAATAATCAGAAAAGCTAAAACAATCAGTATTTGATTGAATTAATTAGCCACAGCCTCATGTAACTTCCATTTACCTGGCGTGAATGATCACCAGTACACATGTATATCCAATGACATTAGCAAAAAATGGGTAGAAAACTGGAACTAACATCAAGTGCATTGAGCCAATAGTATATAGTATTCAATTTCAACGTTTAAAAAAGATATGAAAATACTGTTAAAGAGTACCGTTTTCGTTTTCATTTGTAGATGGAAGCGCCGTAAAAGGAAAAAACAAAATGAAAAATCGAATAATTTACAAGTGCTCCCCCCTTCTGTTTCTGATTTAGTAAATATGGAAACTATGAATTATAAAGATGAAAGGAAAAGGTCAAAAAAACCAACTCCAGTGGTCGTATCAATCACACAATCATTCAACGAGCCACATTATGAAAATAAAGAACCCTCGTATGTAAAGCCTGAACCCCCAACGCGTGATATATACAGTGGGCCTGATAATATTGAGTACTACATGGGGAATGACACCACTACTACAAACGAAGAACCCACAGAGATGTACAGTGACGCAGATACCCCAAACCTACGTCAAACCAAAAATTTTCCCAGTGAAGAGGCACCAAAGCCTCCCAATACTAACTCTGTGTTAGAAACAAGTAAAGAACAGGAACCAAGAGATTATGAAAATGTTCCCAAAAAAAGAACAGAACCACCGAAAGCTGATCCGACACAAACTAGTGAAGTTGAGGAGGATGAAGAACAGACTGTGTATGAAAATCAGAAGTGATTTGATATAGTAACCCTTTCACCCCTATGTAACTTGAGTAGACTCTACCATGCATTGATATGGATGAGTCCATTATGGTCTACAGTGCTGAAAGGATTAATCAGTTTGGCTGTATGTGATTGTCCAATTCAGTATGTTCTTGGTTCAGTTTGGAGAAGAATGTCTTATAACCCTTTCACCCCTAGGTAACTTTAATAGAGTCTTCCATGCATTGATATGGATGAGTCCATTATGGTCTACAGTGCTGAAAGGATGAATCAGTTTGGCTGTATGTGATTGTCCAATTCAGTATGTTCTTGGTTGAGTTTGGAGAAGAATGTCTTTTAATCCCCTATACATTTGGTAGTGTGGTAAATGACAGTTCGGTCCAATAAATGTATCATACAGTTGGAGTTTACACTCTTCTGTAATCCCTGTGTGATATAATAATTTACAGTTAACTATAAACATGCTTGTCATCATTAAACTATGTGGTTATATAAGTTATATGGACAGAGATCAAAACAAAACAAAAAGGTTTACTGAGTAATAATGATTGATTAAAACTCATATTGAGATCCTAAAAACAGTATTTAATTATTTTCATTTCAGAATATTTCATTGTACTGATTTTATGTTGCATTCAATTTAAGGTTTCATATCCTGTCAGGATATCAGGATAATCCATTATTTAAAGTTTGTCCATATAATTGATTTGCTAATAAAACATTTACAGTGCTATCAAAACCACAGGAACATGTCGTCTTTATATAGACACTGTATTGTCGATTTTTATATTCAGCTTTATCGCATGTGACATGTTCCTGTAATCAAAACCTCTCCGTGTGAAAGGTTGGTATAATGTAAACCATGTTTTCACATGTCTTATCATTGACTCAGTATCTCGAGATGTACCCATTATTTTTGTACCTAAACCCTTTCACCCCTATGCCTTTTTCGTAGACTCGACCATGTATTGATATGGATGAGTCCATTATGGTCTACAGTGGTGAAAGGGTAAATAGACACATATCAGTCTGTTCCTTTACATTCTTTATTGGAACTTTGCTTTGCCATTAGTTGTCAGTGATTATGAAATAGAATACAAGTTATACATTATTATCTAATAAGTATTTTTTTATTTTTTTTTATCAATTTTTCCTGGTTATCATAAGGTCCCTTATGGGTTACAAATCCCCTGTATTTACATGTAAAAAAAAAGTATTGGTGATTTAATTGATGGTTTAATGATAGTCAAAATTCATATATTTCAACAAACAATTTAAAAAAGTGAAAATATATGAATTTTATAACCCTTATCGGTGTTCTTAATTGTAAATAATATATTTATTAATAAATTATTATACAACATTTGTGTTAATGTATGGTTTTACTGAAGCAAGTCCATTTGTTATTTCCTTTTTGCTATTTTGTATCAATACGTGAAATTTGGCAAATTCACATTATCAAATTACCATTCTATATATAAAATTGTGGTAAGCTAATGTCAGTTTTACAGAAAGTAGTAGGCAAATTAAGAGTTTTGTTTAGGTATGGCATGCATGTATTCCATTTTTTTTATGACATTTGGATAAAATCAAGTTTCTGTTAAAATGATGCACATAGTCCTATTAACCTGGCATTTTTTGACAAAAACTGTTCCACTGTGTAACACATTCCAGTAGTTTGGTCTCAAAAAACATGCAAACTGATTTTGAAATTTTACTTATTGAATGAGGAAAGAGATTCTTAGCATGACAACGTTTCAGCTCATTCTGCTATCATATCTTGGCAGATCCCTGGAAAGAGGACGATTGTATTTTTAAGACAAGTTAACATTATTTACAATGATAGGAAAGATGTTTCTGGTAGACCAGGGTTAGTTATTGCTGCATTATAACAGGTTTCAAGTAGCAATAATGTACAAATAGAACTTGACTTGTAGATAATTTTTGAATATTCATCATGGACTAACTGTACTGAAAATCCAATAAAAAAAAGGTTGAATCTAATATGAATTTTCAAAATTATTTTTGCATGAAAAAATGTATTTATTTTGGTACCACATTTGTTAAAAAGCAGTGGTTAGGTAAACACATTTGCATTGTTATATCTAGGGGCTACAGTGAACCGTTATAGATTATACAATAACTTATACATTGTACCAGTATTTGTAGTTTATGGTAGACCAGGGTGTATAATTTATACAATCTGTAGTCTGTATATAACCTCTTAACATTTTTCACTTAAAAGATGTCCTTTATTTTTTGGTCTAAAAAGATAATACATTTATGATGATTTTTTGTTTAGTTTACTTTACTGTAGCTGTAATTGTTTGACATATAACTAGCTGTTATTGTTTGACATATAACTAGCTGTAATTGTTTGACATAACTGTAGCTGTAATTGTTTGACATATAACTGTAGCTGTAATTGTTTGACATATTACTGTAGCTGTAATTGTTTGACACTTAGTTGTAGCTGTAACTGTTTGACACCTAAATGTAATTGTTTGCACTTTACTGTAGCTGTAATTGTTTGCACTTTATTGTAGCTGTAATTGTTTACTGTAGCTGTAATTGATTGACACTTTACTGTAGCTGTAATTGTTTGACACTTAACTGTAGCTGTAATTGTTTGACATATAACTGTAGCTGTAATTGTTTGACATATAACTGGAGCTGTAATTGTTTGACATATAACTGGAGCTGTAATTGTTTGACACTTAGTTGTAGCTGTAACTGTTTGACACCTAAATGTAATTGTTTGCACTTGACTTTAGCTGTAATTGTTTGCACTTTATTGTAGCTGTAATTGATTGACACTTTACTGTAGCTGTAATTGTTTGACACTTGACTGTAGCGGTAGTTGTTTGACACTTGTATCAGTGGAATCTATTTCCTTTCTAAAACAAATCGTGATGATTGCATTTTGTATCATTTTATTGATATAGATCTTATATGTAAAGTAATGATTTTGTTATGGTGAAATATTCTTTATTTATATGTGTTGATGTTCAAAATGTAAAGAGCGCCAAAACAAACAATCAATTGTCTATATATTTAGATATAATCTATTTGTATTGTTACTTCAAAACATTGCCTACATTTAACTTTTATTTCTATTTTTAGCTCACCTGGCTTGAAGGGCCAAGTGAGCTTATGCCATGGCGCAGCGACCGTCATCTGTTGTCCGTCTACTGGTGTCCGTCGTCCGTCAACTTTTTTCTTTCAAACGCTACTTGTCCTATACGGCTCGGAGGATTTTGACCAAATTTAGTCTGGAGCATCATTGGCCAAAGGGTTCTCAGTTTTGTATAAACAGAGGGTATGGTCCCTCTTGGGGCAGAGGGGTGGGGCCAAATAGGGGGGGAAATAGGTCAATCTTTAAAAATCTTCTTCTTCTCAACCAATAGAAGGATTTTGACCAAATTTGTTCTAGAGCATCTTTGGACAAAGGAGCCTCAAGTTTGTATAAACAGAGGATGTGGCCCCTCTTTTGGCAGAGGGGCGGGGCGCAATAGGGGAAATAGAAAAATCTCCTACTATACAAGTGAAGGGATTTAAACCAAATGCAGTCTGAAGCATGCTTAAGGACAAAAGAATCAATTTTGTATAAACTGAGGTGTGTGGGCGCCCTTCTTTGTGGCAGATGGGTGGGGCCAATTAGGGGAAATAGAGGAAAACATTAAAGATCCTTCTCCTTCAGTACTGTTGAAGGGATTTTGACCAAACTTGTTCTAGAGAATCTTTGGGCAAAGGGAATTTAATATTTATAAATTGAAGTTGTGCCCCCTCCCCTCCAGGGGCAGAGGAGTGGGGCCAAATAGGGGAAATAGAGGAAAATTGGGACATAACATGGAAACTCATTTTCTTGGTGTCTTTCCCACCAAAACAGATTTATATGTAGTTCTTCTTGCAACTTTGTTTCTTGTACTCCTTTGGTAAATCTGTATGGTACTCAGCAGGTTTTAAATTGAAAAATAAAATACCAGGTGGGCTATTAAGGCCCTGGGCCTCTTGTTATATATAACTCCTTTTAAAAGGGTTTGAATGAAAAAGTACTACTTGGATGCACAACGTCAGGGGGCAGTTACCATATCTGTAAAAAAAAATAAAAAATGGCCAAGTAGATAAGGAAGAGTTGTCAGGCCAAGAAGTTTTCAACAAAGGGCAATAACTCCATAGAAAAGGTCTGTAAAAAATACCTGGATGCACAACTTAAGGGGGTTATCATAATATCTCAAAACTTGCGTTGAAATTGGCCACATAGTCTTGGAGGAGTTGTCAGGACAAGAATTCTTCAACAAAGGACAATAACTCCATAATTAAGGGTCAGAATGAAAAACTAATACCTGGATGCACAACTTCAGGTGGTAGTTATCATATCTGGAAAGTTTCGTTGAAATCCATCCATAACTTTAGAAGAATTTGTCCGGACAAAATCTTTCTACGGACAGACACAGACAAGCTGATTCCAGTATACCCCCTTACTTCTGCGGGGGTATAATAAGTGTGGCATTTGAATTGTAAATGTAATATTTTACCGTAATTGAAGAGATGAGCGAAGGAGTAAATCGTTATATAAGTATGTGGGATATGGAAATTCTACACCCTTTGGTAGACTAGCTATATCCCACATACCGACGTATGATACTAGACGCTGATAATACCCTCTGATTGTACGCATTAATGTCAACACATTATTTACACCCTTTGTAACGTTCCTGGTTCTATTCTGTTGTAAATGTATATCTGAGAGAAACAGTAGTGCCCACAAAACAGTATTATAAAATGAAAGGAATGAGATAGTATGTTGCTTGTTTCGCTATCATGTATGATAAACTCATCAGTTGTTACCATGCTTTTCTATAACGTTGACACAATCACATATATTGTATGAATTTCAACACTTTTGATACAATTCTATGAATTTATGGATGAAAACAAGTTATTAACAAACTCGGGACTTTCCGTGTCATTATTGTCTTTGTGGTGTTAGAATTGTAACTGTTGGAGATCACAAGCTGATGTTCTAAGAATGTATATTTTATTGGATTTATTTACGCTACCGACATGGGTAATTAGTATAATTGTGGATTTTGTTCTGTATGTCAGCTGTTTGGTCAGCATATGATCCTTGCTGTTGCGAAGCATCCTCGATATACAGGGGTTACGCTCACTTTTGCTCTCTACACCTATATAATTTGTCATGGCAAAATTGAAGGCACAAAGATAGCTGTTTCATTGGTGTCGGGTAAAAAATCCACTGACCAATGGATAGGCAGATACCTGTCCTTTGAAGATTACAAAGGAGAGACGCCCGACTTCAAAGCCTGTCATTTTTACCGTTACGTGACCGCGAAATTCTTTTGATGTACCTCAAAGGATCGAACAAGTCTTCTTGTCTCATCAACAAGGTGGCGCACAATGAGCCTTCAATTTTACTATGACATATTCCAGGGGTGCAGAGAGCGAAAGTGAGCGTAACTCCTGGATATCAAGGATGGTTGCGAAGATGTAAAACCCCAAACACAAACAAAACTGTTTGGTAAGGGTAATGCTATTGGAAAGATATATTGAAATACATTTTAGCAATATTTTATAGCAATACAGTAAGGTGTGTTAAGAGTCTATCTACTTAGTCGTTTGTTGAGGTTAAAAGACTGACGGTGTAATACGTTCCACATAAAGCCTTCCCTTCGAATTCTGGATTGATATAAATGACTTGATGAACAAAACTTAAGCAATTCGTTTATAAAGCTGTGTGTTTGATGCCTTTTAAATTTTACATTGCAGTAAACATCTTTGTCACAGTTAAACTAGCAATAACCAAGTCTCATAGGTTAGGTATGGCAACAAATACTTTGTTTGTAAATATAATTTAACAAAAATTCCTAAAAGTTTCGTCGGGAAAATATCGCGAAACAGTGGCATGCATTGCGATGTATCAAGTTACAAATAATATGAACACTATTGTTTGTATTTATGGCCTGCTAGTCCTGTTCTATAAGGAAGAAAATAAAGACATGGAATTGAAAAACTTCTAATACAAAAAAAAAAGTACGTTTTCATTATGCCCATGTAGCAGTAAAGCCCGGTCAAGGCAAATGTGACTCGAGAATATTTATATAGCAACACATCACGTGTTCAACGTGCTACTAATATACTAGTTACGTGTGTGTAAGACACGAACTGGTTTCCGAAAGGAAAATAAATTTCCCCTTCCCAGATACTGAATCCGCGGTCGTTTCCATTTCGAGCTATCGAAGTTGTTAACATGAGACGTAAAATGTATTGAAATATATGACACTCGTGACGTAGTTATAACGTGCCGTGACGAAGTTCCTGAAGCGTAATGTCGTTATTATTTGATTACTTAGTTTCCCCTTGTTTAATACTAATGAACACACCGTAGCGCTTAAAGAACATTTAGATATCCAATGTAATCAATTTTAGCTGTTCCTTGAGACGTAGTCTCGTTCAACCAGACTCTTCTTGAATTACAAGTGATCAAGCGTCTGGTTCAACGAGACTACTTGAGACGCTGAATATTTGATTTTTGTGATATATATATATTAAAGCTACATGTATTCATTAAAACACGAACTGTATTTATTAATAAACACTTTTAACACCGAATAATAATACTACCAATACGTATCTTAATTATTGTTGGAACATTTAAAGTATTTACTTATACGTTATTTTGCCGATAACAACTTCAATACTGGTAAGATGGCGTTTTTGCTTGTCGTATCAGGAATATTAATATTGCTCTTGTTTAAACAGACAGATGTCGAGTCACGATTGTGATCTTGCATGCTCAAGATGAGCTGGCCTCGGATTTATGCAAATGTTTTTTCATAATTTATTAAAATGTGATTTCACGTGCATGTAAATATTGTCTGCTGCAAATCCTTCTAATTTTCACGAGAATATTTTTCCTGTTGAATTGAGAGAAGACTCATTTGCGAATTGAAATTCTATGCGAAGATTACACAGAAAGTTGA